CAGAAGTCAGAAAGAACTGACACAGAAGTCAGAAAGAACTGACACAGCAGACAGACAATAAGAGTTACCTTTCCTCCGAAGGTGGTGTTCCTGTTTGTTCCCGTGATCTTCTGCATTGGTAAGAGTTTCCTGTAGCTGCTGGAGCTTCTCCTGGTTCTGCAGGTGTGTCATGCGGAGCTGAGCTCGGAGGTCCTGGATTTCTGAGAGCAAGCTGTTCCGGTCTGAGGAGAAAAGGTGCTCTACAACCATCTGCCTCTGCTCCTCCTGGAAACAAACCAAGGCCTGTTCAATCCACAAGGCTATTTCCATGTGTTCTGCAAAGATAAACCCTAAGGAAAGGGTTCCAGCAGCAGTACAAGTTTTACACAAAAGCACTGTATGAAGTTTATGCTTCATATTAACTCAAAATGTTAACATTATGTAAGAAAAACCCCACTTCACCTTGTGAAATTAATTCTCCACACAAGAACACTTTAATACAGCTGATTTTTCCCCCCCCAATTTGAATTAGTGTGACATAATATTGTCAATAATATTGTCACTTTACATTGTTTAATACATAACAGTTACTACAGACCATCTGGCCACAACCTAAAAACTAAATATTATCATCAAAAAAAATCCCAGATTCAGAATTAGTTCAATATATATCCTTGGCAAGAGAGGTCTGTGAAGCTCTAGATAAATGGGAGGGAAGGAAAGAATTCTATCAAATATTTCTTACTCGCTATTCCAGTCTTTCTGGAGTCAGTTAAAATAACCAATAGGCTTCGTAGCACAATGTGCAAAGTTTGGGAAAAATGGTACCAAAGCAGAGACTCTAAAAGCCTATTGATCCCACACCATCTGTATTAATACACAAGATAAGATTTAACAACAGAAGCAATAAAAAAAACCCAAACAACTTTAAAAGAAATAACAGGGAATAAAGAAGTGATTTATGGGCAGAACACTTTAAGAGATTTTCTTACTTGCTGTTTCATTATATACTCCAGTTTTTCCACTAATGAACCTGCATCACCAGATGCAGGATTGGAGAAGTGAGACTTCAAGTCAATTTGCAACACACTTCTCTCCTTCTCAAACACGCTCTGTACTGCTTGCAGAAGTTCTCCTCTCCAGTCAGCAGCAACAGCTGAAGTTTCCTGTTAAAATAATTTTTTTTAAATGGTACCTCTCTCAATCTCTAACCCAGTGTCTTTCATACCTTTAATGTGTAAGATTATACCTTTTAACTTAAGCAGACCAAAAGTGTTTAAAGAGTACTGTTCGAATCTCAGAAACGAAAGAGTCCCTTACTCCTCTAAAACACACACACAAACCTCATAACAATATACATTTCTATACACAAAAAACCAGGTTAGCCTGCTTTAAAGGATATTTGATTGCCATACCTTGTCTCCTCTCTCTGCCACCTTGCCAAGGTAATCCCTCAGGGACTGGATAGCATCCAGCAGGGCTAAGCCCTCCTTCCGCCAGCCCTCCACCGCTGCTTGGGTCTGAGGAACGTTCTTCAGCTCCCTGAAACCAAAGGGATGTTCTGACAAAGCCAATATTTTGCGGCTCTCCTCGTACACCATCTTCAGCACAGCCTGAGAAGGTAAAAAACACAAAACAAAACAAACCAGAAATGGAAACAGGCATCAGCATCCTGAGAGAGTGCAAGAACAGGATGGGATAGCACTACGAAAATAAGGTAGCTGTGCACATCAACACCCTAATATGCAATTAAGCATAAATTATTAATATGCAATAATGCCAGAGGGCTGTACTTATTACTTTGTTGTTGCTGAACTATTTAGCTAACTTTCCTGGGAATAAATGAAATTCTGTCAAGTCTGAAGGCATGTAACTAAACCACCAGAAAACTGAATTATGTATTTAGACAACTTTGGCTTAATTTAGCCGATTATGTACAAATAACATCTCCCAAAATAATCAGTTTTAATAATTTACACAGTGGAAAATGTTTCCTCTGACACTGTCAGGCCAAATAATATATTTTAAATAAATTCCCTGTTCAGAAACTATTACATCATGCACAGATGTTTCCTGGCCTCTTTTCAAGGAAGGTCACTGGAGATTTAAGTCCTTTTCTTACACACATCTCATCAGAAATATCCCAGCTTCCACGTGAAGCTGTTCCTCACTGCTACTCACTTTAACAACAACAACAACAACAACATAGAGTACTTCTCTTTAACTCTTGATATTCTTTCCTTGCACTTAATTGAATGACTTAATTTTTGAACCAACTTGAGTTGCTTTTCCATCACTGGAACAAAAATAGTGATTACTTCAAGAACCAATAAAACCTTTAGTGAACAATAACATCAGAAGCACAGTAAAGCATTCAAATGAAACATTTAATAGTGGAATGTGCACTCAGATCTTACAGCCAGTAAAGTCTAGATTGATGATCCACAAAAGAAACTAAAAAAAATAAATCTGTTTCTTAAGGTAAAGTAAAATTCACTCTTCTATGATGTCTGAGACTACGCTTTAGAGAATTATTATTTTTTTAGATACAGAATCATAGAATGGTTTTCAGTTGGAAGGGACCTTTAAAGACTATATCTAGTCCACCTCCCCTGCCACGGGCAGGGGGGACATCTTCTATTAGTTCAATTTGCTCAAAAACCTAATTTTGAATGCTTCTAGGGATCTACCACCTCCCTGCACAAACTGTGCCAGTGCCCCACAGCCCTCACTGGGTGCTTCAGTGCCTCTCAGTAAGGAATCTCCAATTAATAAACACCTTATGTGCTTTTCTGGTAGCACTAGTTCTAATGCCAGTGGGTGGTTGCACCAGCTTTGCATGATTGGCTTTTCCTGGATCACCCCAGTTACTCCACATGCTCTTCTTTCTCCAGCCCTAGAGCATCATATCTGTTATGAAGGGCCCCTGCAGAGGGCAGGGGAAGGTTCCTCCTTCTGACTCGAGCAGTGATGAAGGCCCAGTCTCCTTCATCCTGAGTTACTGTGTCAGTCAGCTGAAGTGAGTTTGAATTCAGGCCCCAGTCTCCTTCATCCTGTGAGTTACTGTGTCAGTCAGTTGAAGTGAGTTTGAATTCAGGCTTGCCTTGCCCCTGCACTGCCTTACTGCACTGCACAAATCTTCCCACACTGTGCTGAGCAAGCTCCAAGAACCTCCTAAGCATATTAGGAGGCAGCACTCACTTTCTAGGAAGTGTATTTCTTCTAGTTTCTTATTACTCAAGAACTCACTATAACCTACTGCACTTACCAGCCTCATAGGTGAGAATTTCTCCCTTTCCACAGCTGGAATTCTTGGAATGGTTGAGAGCTTGTTCAGCTTGTTCACCGAACCAAAGTATGCCAGGCATATACTTCCTTCAACTTGCCTTTCTGACTAGAGTGAGCACTCACTGCTCAGCCTTCTGTGTATTCCTCATGCTCCTTGAACTGACTCTGAAATATCCCTCCACACCTTGCAAAGGTGTTTCCACAGCTCTCCATCACATCAGAATGAGAAGAACAGGCAGAGGAGTATGATCTCAGCTAGCTATGGTTGCTCTTGAAACAGCTTTCTGTGAAACCTCCAAGACAAACCCATAAAACAGATCAACCAGCCCTTGAACCACCACGTTCTGAAACATCACCAGTGCTGTCCTAGCACAACTAGTTCAGTTCTAGCAAGCACAAGCAAATGTCAGTAATTTTGCCACAAGAGATGAAAAATGACTCAAGAACCATAACCAACTCGAAGTTTAAAGCATTACAGAGCAGTTTTCAGTGTAAATGTAGCAGCTAACTCCATTTCCTGTTAGCACTTAGTTTTCGCTGTTCAGTTTTAATTTGCTGCTCTGCTTGCATTAATCACACATTACCTTCAGCTGTGGTGAAAGTACTTCCTTCTCTTTCACTGATTCCATAATATCTGGGAACACTCCCCGGTACCGCAGATAAGCCATGACACTGGCATCCAGGTGGTCTGATGTTTGGAGCTCCTGCTTTAGTTTAGCTGCCAAATTTGAGCTGGTATCTGAAGGAACAGATAACCCCCCCCACGCCCACAAGTGTTATAAATATGAAAAGAACCTGAAACCAGAACAACCACTTGCAAAATAACCATGATTTCTTCTCCCAGTCTGAATGCAGGGTCAGATGAGGTTGGTTGGTTAAGATCTTAATTAACTTAAACAAGTTAAAAGGCAGGAAGTTGTGTTTAGCACCAGAGAAAGTGCTGTAGTTAAAAATCAGGACAAACCCCCTGCCCCCTTCTCAGTATATAAAGATGAGAAGGTAAAAGCAGGCACAAATATACAAATGTTTCCAAACAAAGAACACCCTGCCAGAGGCACAGCTTTCCAATAAAAGACCTAAAAGTAAAAGAAAATGGGAGAAAGAGGAAACATAATGGTTTTACAATAAAGTTCACATAAGGTGAAAGGAATCTACAAAGTTAAACTTACTGCTGCCACATCCACTGCTCATCACAGATGCTCTTGATCTTACATCATCTTGTAAATCAGAAGGGGTTAAAGTGAGGTTATCAGCCTCTCCCATCTGCTTGGAAATAAAATTTTCACATTGATTTAGTTTTCTGAGTCCAGCTGTTGTTTTCTGCATTCATGATAACTTTTTTACTAGTGCAAATCTTAGCAAATGCCTGCTTGATCATAGTATTAGAAATGGCAAATACCACGATGAATGCAACACTGGTGCTCTCTGGAAGCCATTCCATCTCAATTTTCCCCCTCTTTTAACAGTCTTAGGAAACAGACATGTATTTATATTTAATTGCCCCTCAAAAGCAAGGCACAAAAATATACAACTGAAGATAAATTTTCTGAATTTCTGATAAATTATCTTCCTGCGAAATTACAGGATACAGACAATATATAAATACATATATACACACACATATAATATATAAAATATTTCCATTTAAAAAAATCCCTGTATTCTCCAATTTTGAAAGAGACTCTTCTAACACTCAACAACAGATGTTTGTAAGTAGGGAGCTGTTCCAGTACACTGAGTACTGTGGTAGCAAAGGTTTTACAGGTTTTAGCTCAATTCTGGTACATGAAGTTATCACACTTTATCAAGTTGATAAACTTTATCAAGTTTATCAGTTATTATCACAGTAAGAGAGGAATTAACAACATTACTGGACCCACCCCCAGCACTGTGTAGGTTTCTACTACTTGGAGCCAATGGCCCATCAAGGATCCCAGGGGGACAGAGCTGAGCAGTCTTGTTTAATAAGAATTAAATCAGACTGGAAATAACACTTACCAAAATCTTCTTCTGCATATCTTCGTCATCAACAGAATAGGTGCTTTCAGAGAAAGCTGGAGATTTTCTGTCTACTCCCACCACTGCATCCCCACTGCCATTGTCAGCCAGCCTAGAATATCCCAGTGATACAGAATTATCTCCTTGCAGGGATGACCTTGTGTGCATAATTTCAAAATCCATGTTTTCAACTTCTGACAAGGGCGTCAGGTGAAGCACTGGTTGAAGTTCCATGCTTGAATCTTGTTTTCTCATGATTTCAGGCGAGCCCCAGGAACACATACTTGCAACCAAATTCTGAAAGTCTTTTGAAATGTCTTTGTCTATGTCCAAATTGTATTTTGGAGAGTCAGGCGTTTGACGAATTTCCAGCATTTGCTGGCAATGCTTTTTCAAATCTTCATCCTCTTCAGAGCTGTGGATCATGTCCAACTCCTGAAGCAAAATATTTTCTTGTGATTGCTTAATCTGAGTTTTTGGATTTCTGCTGTGAGTTGTCAAGTCAAACATAACTTCATCTTTTTCCTACAATGAAACAACACATTAATTGTTTAATGGAATTTGAATATGATTTCACAAACTGAGAAACATGTGTTTAAAAAAGATCTTCTAAAATTGGGTGATTTTTTCCTTCAGGCGCTTCATCTAAGTAATTTTAAGCTAAAATTTTGACCTCTTTGATTCTGTGGCTGAGTCTAAACAATGCACTATTTGAGAATATATTTTAGTTTATTTTAAACCTGTCAACATGGAAATTTCATTTCATCCTCCATACCTCTTACGTTGTCAGATACAGTGAATAATTGTTTTCTCTCTCATCTTAGACCATCACCTTAATCCTTTTGTGTTAATCATCCCTCTTAGCTAAGTCCTAGCCTATTTTAAGCCTAGTGCTAGCTGCAAGTACTTCCCTCTTCTCACTGCTCCTCCAGCTTTCATTTTAATACATTTCCTAATTTTCACACTGTTTTCACTTTTGAACCCAAGGATAACTGTATGAGGGTTCTTTGCTCCTCTAAGAATGCTGCAAATATTGTACTTTTTCTAATACCGGGATAGGCAGATCCATAGGAAAAAGCCTATTGTAATGAATGCTTGAAGACACAGTAGTTTACTTACTTTGACTCAACACATTCTCCAACTTTGATGACCATCCCTCCTCAGCCTACTTTAAAACTTTTAGCACTTAAACTATGGAAATACATAATACTGGCATACAGACATCAATTAAACATTTCAGAATCTGAGTTTCTACTCGAAAAATTATTTTTAATAATTTTGCCCCCAGAATTCCAGCAAAGCTTTATGTCCCTCAAAATTTTACCAGCTCTCTCTTCACTGAACCCTAAGTTACTTGTGTTCCTTAAACAGGGATCTAACAATCCCTACCTGTATAAGCAACATGGTCCAGTAGCCACCAGACAGAAGTCTGCTGCCTTGTGCAGACACATTCAGTGGTCTGAAGTATATCAGTCTGCACAGGTCATTCAACACTCTTCCCACTTGTTTCCTTTTCCTGAGGGATTTCTGGGACAGACCCTGAATGTACAGTATCCCCTGGGCAAATGGCACTGATGCAAACTAGAACTTCAAGGCAGATACAAATACAAGCACCAGGAACGCTCTTCATTCCCGCTTTAAAAATTAACACGTCATTTCACATGGTAATTATCCTTTAATTTCTTTAAATAAGTCAACCGCCTTGAATGTTTATATCCATATCATACTGCCAATCAGGACCCCCAAAATCCACATAAGGACTCAAACTCTTTTTTCATACAACCCCTCTTACTAACACTTATCACCTCTGTAAGCCAGCCTTAAAAGACAGTAAGTTGATGCATGACAGACTACTACAGCTCTTTGAAAAAAGGATCACCTGGATCCTACTGCTCTCTAAAATTGAGCAATTGAGTTTAATAAGATGAGGGTATTTGGAGCAAATGGTTCTAGGAAAGATTCAGAATAATTACAAGAGTCACAGATTTCTTAAAAAAAAAAAAAGGAAACATGAAGTATTTTCAAGTAGTTCTCCAATACAGCCATAAAGGATGGCAAACACAGTCTTGGTAGCTCATGGTGGGTTGATCTTGATTGGCTTGCAGATGCCCACCCAGCTGCGCTCTCACTCTCCCTCCTCAACAGGTCAGGAGGGAAAAAATATGATGGGAAGAGCTCATGGGTGGAGAAAAAGAAAAGGATATCACCTACTAACTACTCTCACAGGCAAAATAGATTGTACTTGAGGAATATGTATTTAATCTATTGCCACTCAAATGCAGCTGGATGGCAAGAAACAGACAAATACTGAAAGAGTTCCCCCCCCACCTTTTCTCCCCAGGCTCTCCTTGACCCCAAACTCCTCCTCCTTCCACCTCTGTTCTAGCATGGTCTTTTCCATGGGCTCTTTCTCACACTTTTTTCCCCCCTTACTCCTCACTGCCTGTCAAGCATTTTGGTCTCTGAAATACGTTTTTTCAGGCAGTGCCACATATATGGATAGTGGGCTTGGCTGTGTCCTGTGGTGGACACAGCTGTACCCAGCATGGAGCAGCCCTGGGCCCCCTGCACCTCCTTGCAATCCCCCACTGCCATCTCCTTGCAATCTACACCCAAAACATACCTTAGGATCCATGGTCAAAACCACATCCAGCTCAGAAAAGCTGGATAAGGTTTCTGTGGGTGCTTGCCCTATTCTTAGCCCTTCCAGGCATCCACTTGTAGCCATTGCTGGAGAAAGCAGAGACAGACAGACCCTTCAACTGACTCACCACAGCCATCCTTATGTCACAGTATTCACCTTCTCCCTTTCTAACAGCACACAAAAGGATAAACTATAAGGCTTTACACAACAAAAAAATACTATTAAGTAACAAATCATATACCAGTTTAGCAGTAGGGGAAGCCAGTACTGGGAATGACTGATCATTATTTGCTTCCAGTTCTTCTAATTCCTCCATTCCCTTTTTAAGGGCTACTCCTTTTCTTTCTCTCTGGCAGAATGGTTTGAGAAAGGTAGTCCCTTTGTGACCTAGTTGCTCCTTTAGCTGGTGTGACTCCAGCTGTGAAACTTCAGCTCTCTCTGATCGTAAGGCTTCAAGCTCTTTCATGTGGGCCTTGATTTGATCTTTCAGTTTTGCAGTGCTACCTTGTAGTTCCTTGATTTCTCTCAGATAAGCTACTTCTTTCTGATTCAGTGCTTGCACCTGGAAATCCAGTCTAGAGACTTCTAATTGAAGACTATAAACATCTTGTGCCTGACTTGCATCTCTCTTTTCCAACTCAGTTTGGAGCTCTGCTGCCTTTTCTGTTAAATACTGCAGCTCGGTGCTGTCAGCTTCTCTTTGATCCGCCATCGTCTTAATCTGCATCTCCTTCTCTAGAATATTTGCTTCCTTTTCTCTCATGGTAGCTTCAAGTTCTTGAATTCGAGATTCAGTAACCTTTGTTTCAACCTCTCTCTGGGACAAACGTGTTTGGGAAAGGCTGTATTCTTCCTGAAGTGCCTCATGCTGGATCCTCAGAGAGGCCAGCTCTGCAACAAACTGCTCCGATGACTCTCGCAACTGTTGGCATTTTTTCTCCAGAATTTCCACTTCCATTTTGAACTGCAGTTCCTTCTCTTCCAGTTGCTGCTGCAGAGCTTGTCTAGCAGCTGAGACAAGCTCCAGTTCCTCTTGAAGTTCTCTCACTTTGGAGAGTAGTGATGCACTGCTTCTGTTTGGATCAGGATCACCCTGACAATCCACCAGTCCCTTCTTCAGCTCATTCTGAAGGTTTTCCACTGGCTTTCCCAATGCAACCTGATAGAAGTCATCTTGGTTGTCACTATCTTCATGACAAACTGGTCCAAACTGTGCCAGCTCTTTTTGAAGCTTCTCAATTACTCCATGGAGTTGCTCCACCTCTTCATCCTTGTCCTTACGCAGCCTCTCCTGGTCAACGTGAAGGTGCTCGACCAGTGATTTGAGTTCTTCAATTTCAGATTTTTGGTCTTCCACAACCTAAACAAAAGGATAATGACTGAATATTACTGCATGTAGACACAATTACTATTGCACATAGAGTTTACATTTTTCTTCTGAATCACACGTTCAACACCAGGAAGAACTGCACGCTTCAGCTGGTAGCTACTAAAAATAATCTCTACTTTCCTAAGAGAGTTATCAAACAAATTTCATTTACCATAAGATTCTGCTCACCTTGCTTCCCCCTCAAAAATCAAGCAATGAACATACAGTAAGCACTCTTACTTTATTCTCCAGAGCATTCTGTAGCTCGAGCTGGAGTCTCTTCATCTGCTCATTCAAGTGATCGATTTCTTGATTCTTTTCTTCAAGTAGTGCTTGTGGGAATGACAAAGCTGAGGAATCATTAATACCCAGGTCCTGACTTTGCTTCACGTGAAGTTTTGTTAGATCCTCCTGACCAGGAAAAACAATAATCTCATTAGAAAGGACTGACTTCCTCTCTCAACCTAATGGCAGAACAGAACTAGGGGCTTTATTTAAACATTCTCCTCTACACTATAACATTGAAGAACTCAGGAACACAACTACAGCTATTTTATTTGAGTTTGTACCACCAGATTAGACTGCCACAACCCAGAAAATTACCCAAGCTTCTGATTTAAATCAAATGTAGAAGATAATGCTACAAGTATGAATCTCGAATATTGGTGGGCTTTGGTTCTAAAATACCCAGCATTAGTCTTGTAACAGTAATGCAATATTCCCCTGGCAAGAGAAACAAATCAATTATCTGTTTACAACATCATGAGATGATGACTATAACACTCCAGATAGAAGGTTTCTGACATTTTAGCCAGTGCACACTAAAGCTAAGGAAACTTACCTTCAAGTGTGCATTCTCTGCCTGGAGCTGGTTGATGCTGGAAGTGCTAAGGTTCTTTTGTATCTCTAACTGCAAGTTCAGCTGCAATATCTCCTCGTTTTTGCTGCTCAAGTTATCTTTATATTGTTCCAGTTGGTCTAGCAAGCTTGCAATCTAAAAAAAAGAAAATGCATAGTTGTTTCAATTAAGTCCTCTTATTTCAGTAGAAAAGATAAAAGTTCATTCACTGTCTTACTTAATGACAAAAGTAACTCCAGCAATTTCTATGATTTGAACTCTAATCAACCTGCACTAATGGAATACCTGAGACATAAAAACAGAGTGGGAAACTTGTGTTCCAGCTCCTCATCTGCAAAACCAAAGTACTGCAAAGGTGGGTTTCCATTTTCTTTAAAAAAAAAAAACAAAACCTAACTGCTCACATGAGATATGTTAACCTGTACTGTGAACAGTCAAGGCTTGACTGATGTAATTTGCAGTAACAATAGGAGACATATTAGCATTGGATGTCCAACTGAATCACAAGCAGTTAACACAAACACCATTCTCCTCCTCCCAGAAGACAAAAACTAGCATTGAAGTGCCAATCCCAGTAAGAGACATCAAATAGATGAGTCAATAACCACATATTCCTGTGTTTGAAGGAGCAGTGGAAGCACTGTGATTTTGCCATCTACAGGTTTTATCATCTCTTGCTGTAATGGGTAGCAAGGTATAGGGCCTTTGGGAATGTGACCATTGAAGTTAAACTTCCTAAGAGACACAGAAATTCCATCTGCAAGAAATCAATTTTTATTATCTTACTGCTCTTGAAAGAATGGTGTCAATTGACTGGAGGATCATCCCATTTTTCTTCGTTGCACATCCTGAACTGGATCAGATGTTTCTATATCATAGATACTATAATAATTATGTAATAATAATAATAATATAAACATACAGCAGGGTTGTGTATGCATCTGTGCATTTAAATCCAATAGAAGTTGCAAAAAATGTGACAAGAACTATCCCTCAAAGTCAAACAAAAAGCTAACTACCTTCTGCTCCACTTCCACTTTGGAAGGAAAGGGAAATCAGTTTACAACTGACACTGATCAATCAGTCTCAAAGCTGATGTGAACCATCACAAGACAGTTGCCAGTGGGAAGGGAGATGAACACAGAACAAAGCAAGAAAAAGGAAGGTTAGTTAAGGCCAAAGCACAGAGAATTCTGGGTAAGAAGGCACATTTATTAACACGTTAAATGGGTTTTGAATGGATTAAATTCCCACCTATAAGTGTGTACAAAATATTTATGCAATTGTAAGAGCACCTCAAGAGTCTGCAAGATGCTACTAAAGCTCTCACCTCTCTCTCCTTGGCCTGAAGTGCTTCCTGCTCTGCCTGTAGCTGCTCCTTCAGCACAGGGGCAGAACTGCCATCCACTGGCACTCGGTGCCTTGCTTCATCCAGCTTAGACTGCAGGGCAGAGATCTGGATCAGGTTATTGTACTGCTGCTGTTGCAATGCCTCTTTATCCTGGAAAAAAAAAATCATGTTAGAATTAATTGCTGTCAATATAGAAACCTGCCTCACCAGAACAATGCTGCCAAAACTTCATCGTCCCTGACAAACCCAGTACAGGAAAAGCACATAATCTCAATGGCCCATAAAGAAATAGGAATTCAAAACAATTCAATGTTTTAGCTCTCTTAAGTTTTACTCCTTTATTTTTTCTAATAAAAAAAAAACTTGCCAAGAGCAGCACCACGGCCTCCATCCACTCCAAGGCAGACAGAAAATGAACAGACATGGCTTTTGTATGTGTGGATAAAACCACAGAAAGGCTTAAGCTGGGAAAGGTCTCTAGAGCTCCCTGGTCCAGTGTCTGACTCAAAGCAGAACCAACTCGGCTCTGCTCAGGGAATTCTGACACGGCAGAGGCATCACTGCCACTCTGAGCCCCCTTTTTCAACATCTGGCTGCCCCCAGTAGGACCCCTTCATCCCACCACTGAATTGGGATTCCCCTTGCTGCAGTTTATACTCATATCTTCTCATCCTTTCACTGTGCACCTCCAAGTCTGACTCCACCTTCCCTATAACCTCCTATTATGTGACTGTAGGCAAAAAGATCTCCACAAAGCTCCCAACAATACTCAGCCAAGCAAAATTGTTGGCAGGAAACTGAATATTTACTTTAAGATGGTAGAAAAAAAAAGTTACTCAAATATTTGGTCAAAGACAAATACTTTTGCTAAATGGAATGTAATTCTTAACTCTAAGCTGTGATTAAATCTGCAGCAGTAACAAAGCACTAAAAACTTCAGATCATGGTGAACAGATCTGGCTTTAAAGACACAGAGCAAGAAGGGCTATGGATTAAGATAATATGACTTTAAACATAGGGACTTACTGAATATTAAACACTGAGGGTCTTCAGTAACATCACCTTCTCAGAAACTTCCAGACAAGCACAAAAGAGGCTCTGAACCACACAAGCATGACAACTATCAAAAGCAACCTCCACAGTAAGTGGAGTGAGTCTTATAAGTAGCATATAAGCACACACTACTTACATGTAGCACATAAGTCTCTATAGTCGACCTGGAGTATGTAAAACCAGAGTTCATTTAAAACTGTGGCTGTGATATCTGCCATTAATACACCAGTTTAACTCACCACTGGGTGCCAGGGACAGTCACAAGCACCACTAATAACCCCCACAAAGCCACTGCCACGTAATGCCAACCCCAATTAAATAAGGATTTGAAAATTACTTGTTTCAGTTCAGTTTCCACTTTCTTCATTTTCTGCAGCTGTTGTTCCAGTGAGTGCACAGTCTTGGAGACCTCAGCACCGCTGCACTTCAGCTCTTGGATCTGTGCCACCAGTTTTTCTATCTCTTTATCACGAGCTGTAATTTCCTGGTGTTTTTGCTCCTTTTCTAATAAGAGCTTGTTGTAATCATCCATCTTCTCTTTTAGTTCTGCTTGCAAAGATTCTACCTATACAGAAATCGCAGTGTACATGTATTCAGGCAATAGAACAAATTTTCAATTGGATGTAAGAGTAATTTCACGTCAAAGCAGGTGGAGTTTTACTACAGTCTAAAGAAGTGCTAAAATCCCAGCTGAAAATAAAACTAGACGTGGACAGAAAGGATGAAAAAGTAAAAGTAATTTTCTGAAATCTTGTTTTCCAAAGGCAGCAGCTCTTAGATGGACATTTGATTACTCTCTCTTAATATTTGTAGTATTCTCACAAAATACTAGATGAAGGTATACTCTCAAAGGAGCCTTGTGGTGTGGGAGGTTTTTTTTAAGATTAAAAAAAACCCCAAGACTACATGAATTATTATGACCAGCATTAGATTTATTTCTGTAACCTCAGAACCCTCTTCCAATATTCCAAGGAATTCCAGTTTAAAGGAACATACCAAGAACTGAAAGACAAATATGCAATGCAACATACCTAATGCCTACAAATCAGAGAGATTCCCAGGAGCCAACATAGGACAGGTACTTCTTTTTCCAAAAATCATTTAAATATGAAGAGGATACCAATTTTGAATTTGAGCTCACTGAGATCCAACCATACACAGCTGCAGGAAAACAGTCATTCATTCATCCCAGTAATCAAGGTGAAGGCAAGGCTGGGAGCTTTGCTGGGTGTGTGTGACAGAATCTACCTCAAGGCGTGATAAAGTCATTAAGCACATTGAAAGCAAGCTCAGGCAGGAAAGCAGTTGGAAAGGAGAAGTAATCTGGTCAATACCAATGAGCAAGGAAGAGGAGACTTTACAAAATAAATGCTTTGTTCTTCAATAAATGCCTGAATTGATGCAAGTCCCACTTGGACATTATAAAATAAAAATTCTTTGCATTAAGACAGAACTTTACATCTTCAAAGTATTGTACAGACACTACTAAAGCAGCAAAACATGCTCTAGCCAAATAGAGAAAAAGAGTCAAATTAATAAGCATGGAGAGTGTCAGAGGCTGGTTAAGAAAACTAAAAATGATTAACATTATATTTTCAACTGCTTACAGGCACATAATTAAGGAAATGTTTCTGTATGTATCTTACTGTCTTCTCATTCATCAGCAACTGACCAACTGTTAAGCATAACATAGGCCTTACAGTAAAGCTTTTGGGTATAGAAAAGTATTCTAGAAGTCTAACCTTTCTAATGTTATAAAATTTTGGCATCAGAATCCCAAAACTATGACACTTCAGACATAAAAAGTGTGTTTTTAACACCACGTTGCTAGAAAGCTGGTACTGCAACCCTGTAGCTAAGGAAAGAAACACTTCCACAACCTTCACCCTCACAGAGCACATTGCAGCTCTCAAATACCAGCCAGCACTCTTCCCCCAAAATAATCCCACTCACACATACCTCGAGCCTAGTGAACAGCAGAGAGGGCAACTGTGAGCTTGTTATAACTGCTACATGCAGGAATTAGCAGTTCACTTGAACTGGGGTGGTTTGCAGTGAGTTGAAAGCACTTCCTGATGTTCCAGCTGCATTAAACAACCAAACGAATCCTGACGTTTCCTTTTTGGCATGGAATGCCTGCATTCCTCACTCTACCTACATATGTCACTTGCTTAGTTACCATCCTCGTGTGTCTTTCTCCAAGTAAGTTTTCATCCTTTCTGAAAGGGGTTGCAAAGCTACAGCAGTTAATTTTTTCAGCCATGCCCTCCAGCATGGAAAATTTGCTCTATCAAAGATGCAGTTGCTCTTACAAGACAAGCTTTTCCAACACTGAGGTACACAATTCCATGAATTATACATAAATAAACAGATTTAAATGTAACTAAGTAGTTTACACATTGAAGTTTTGGTAAGCACCAGGTCACCAACAAAAGCTGAAGGCTAAGGCACAGTATCACCACCATTCCAGTACCTTTGTTCCATATACTCCAAAACTCAACTTCTCCTTTCATGACAAAAAGCTCTGTTACAGTGAATAACTGCCTGTAACACTTTTGAGCAATAAGCCAGGAGAACAAACTATTTATGCAAAGGAAATTAAACTGAGAGCAGTTCCTCATTCCCTGAAAGAATTCTGCCACCCTAAAACCTGTAGCCTTAGCTCCAAGTCACGCCTTGACATATCAAGAGGAGGAAAAAAAGCTAAAGCAGATCTAGAAAGGATTGAAAGTAAAAGGAAAGAAAAGTTAAAGAGATGTTCATGCTGTTTTCCATACCTGTAGAATCAATTCATAGTTCTGTATAATGTTCATTTATGTGAAAAAACACAACCAACCAAAAAAAAAAAAGGAAAAAGGAAAAAAAAGCAAAAGTTAATGTTTGAAACCAAGCATCAAACAAATGAACATGTGTAAACAAGGACTCATTATAAACCTAAATAGGACAAGGCATGCAGACAAAGAACATCTCTATTATAATTGCTATAGCTGAAAAATATAAATACATTTAGAACCCAGAAGTCATCCCTCAGAAGTGCTCTGTATAGCAGAGTGTCTCTAGTGTTGTCCTCCTTGACTCATTTAAATCAGACTCAGAGGCTGTGAAACCTTACTGTAAAGCACATCCAACAGTTCTTTCCATCACCCTAACAAATAATATAAGTGCATTCTCACTGCCTAAATGTAGTTCAGTCAGTTGAGGAAGAAAAATCTGCTCTCTGGGTAACAACAGAGGGGAAAAAAAAAGTCTCCCAGGAGCCATATCCCCAAGAAAATACAGGTTTTGTTATTTAATTGCAGTAAACAAACTCCTTTGGTCATTAAGTGTTATTTTACTCACTCTGTATTCTCTGGGCTGTCCTGAAGTCTGTGATTTTGTTGACAGTTTTAACTGTTCTTCCAATTTCTGAATCTCCTGCTGAAAATCATCGCGTTCATGTTCCCTTTCTATAGCTTGTTCCTGCAAACGCAGCCAGAGAGAAAGAAACTTGGCATTTCATAACAATATTGTGTACAAGAAGACTTTGGGGATTGTTTTTGTGGTGAAGAAACTGTCAATTTAAAAATAATTAACACCTTCTAGTAGTCCTGAAAGCATATCTACAATTACTGAGAAGGAAAAAAACCACCTTTTTGACTTCAATGTACATACAAACTACAACTATCAATTAATAAAAAGGAAGAATTATCCTGCAATACTACAGAGAGGTAATTGAAAAAATTAACTTTTTTATTTCTTTTATGAGACTAGAATACCAAAGCCTTAATTTCAAACAAAACTGAAAATATCCCATTTTAGGAATCATCTTCCAAGCCGCAGTCACAAATCAGGAGAAGAATTTATCACCTCCAAACCCATGGAAATGTGGTCCCAGGCTCACTTACATCCATGAACTGTCTCTGGTTTTTAAGCTGTTTTTCAAGAACTTGAATTTGCTGTTTTAATTCAGCAACCTCCAGTAACTGTGTAGCCAGGTCCTGGTTACTGTGCAGCTGTTCTTCCAGTTCCACCTCCAAAACCTTCATTTGAGAGCGTAAGTTGGAATGGTCCTTTTCTGCCTGACACTGAAGCTCTAATTTCTCCTTTGATAAAAATTCTACTTCCTTGAGTAGACCTGAACAAGAACACAAAAATAACAAAAGTTTGCCAGTGCAGGGCACAAAAATCAAATGTTTCAGATGAGATTACTTTCAGGTATTTTGGACAGCATCAAAACAAAGCAAAATATTCCTGAGATGGACTATAAAAGACACAACAGGAATTCTGATGCATGACTGCTCATGGGGTCTCCAAAAGCCATCTTAATAAAGGAGGTCAGGGGTTACTGTTCTCAATCCCTAAGTGAATCCTGGTTGGAGACATTCTAGACCATTAGAAAGCTTTCACCTTCACCCCTGGAGACCTCCTAATTCCAGAGAGCCCCATCTCACCTGACCAGGAATTCTTCAAGTTCACTCCCTAGGTCCTTGCCTTCTCAACCCCAGTTCCACACTCTTCTTGCCCCAGAGGCTCTTTCCAAACCACACCAGATCCTCAGTCCTCCCAATTCACTCCATTCCAGAGGTGCTCTATCCCCAGGTTTAAGCCCCAAACACCACTGTCAGCCACGTAATCTTTCATACCAACCCTTCCAACTGTCCCATCCTTCTCTGCTCTATCCTAAATCCTTGTCACCCTTCTTTCCCAACTCTCTTAATCGAGCCATCCAATACAGAATTCTTGATTCCTCCACACTCTCATGCCAAGATCCTCCTTAGACATTCCCTATCCAGTTTCTCCATTACTCCCTGCCTCGTGTCATGCTGGATACACTGCCCCTGCCATCTACACTGGTAAATTAGCACCCAGTCCATCTTTCCAGTGGCCACTGGTGCCCAGCCCAACCTTGAGCTGCTATGAGAAAGCAAAGTTATTGTATTTCTCTGAACCAGAGTGGGGATTAAAACCTGCAGAAAAATCATGCTTACAGAAAATCAGTCTAGTTCTCAGAAACACCTGGGGAAAAAAGATGGCACATCTACAGACTGCAAAAGCATTAACACAAATAGGAAAATGTATGTAGTTTAAATTATTTAAGTTATCAAGAGTTAATTTATAGCTACAAACTGAATTTTCAATCAGCTGGATGCACTCAATATGCTGTTTAGGAGACCAAAACTGAGACTCTACTGTGAACACTCATGAAGCAAAGCTACTTTTATGTAAACATAGATAAGTAAGTTGAGCATGAAAAATAGAAGCCTACTTTGTATCAAAGCAAGGTCCTGCAAGAGATCATCATTTTACTTTTCAAATGTTCCATCATCACCTTAAATGTTTTCAGTCAAAGGTCAAAGGTAAGCCTATGATCCAATAAGGACTTTAAGTGGCCACCTAGCCCACCTTCCAGAATGGAAAACCACAGCCTGCCTACAACATTTTTTTCTAGGGTTTCACTATCCACAGGTATTTAATTACATCTCTACACACTTGAAAATAAGCAAAAAAACATGAACATTTCCACGTTCATGCTTAAGAGGATAACTGTCACAGGTTTGGAATGATGCAACAATATTTACACTAAACATTGGGGAAAATGTCACCACAGTGAGGATAATGGAATAGAATGTGCAGGGTCTGCAAAATCTCTGGCTCTGGAAATCAAACAGGTTGGACAAAGAGAAACATGGAAAGTAGATTCTGGTTTGGGACAAAAGTATGGACTACATGAGCTCTCGAGGGCCACAGCAACCCCGTGATTCCAGGATTTAGTCACCCCAGTCTCACTGCAACAACTATACTTTCTCTGCATTAAGATGATATTAAGATATGCAAGTAAAAACTAAGAGGTTAATTGAGCAAATGAAAACTCAGCACACATGAAACCATACCAGATTCTTTAACCATCCACCCAATTTGCTAAGCACCCATGGCCACCTTCTGAAACCAGCTGAAGTGGACACAAAATTGCTCCTCGGTCCCTTTGCACAGCCAACATGAGAGCATGGCACACCCAGCTGAAGGAAATACAAACTACTTTGTTTGGCACTCACTCTACACAGCACGTGAGAAGCCCTGCCCTCCCTTACACATGGGTACACTGGTACTGGGCTCCTCCTGCCAGTTTAAGTGTGCTTTTGGCTGATAAATACAAATCCCACACAGGCTACAAATCCCAAAAAGCTCCTGTCCTGGTTAAGTCCTTCCTGCCTTTGAGAGACTGTAGCTGTGGATTGCAACTACATTCCAACTACATTCCCCTCCAAGCACTCATTTTGCACATGTACAGTTACCAGGAGCCATGGACTACATAAAAACAACGGGGCCACACTCTCTACCTTTTCTAGCATTGTGCTAAATAATCACAATAAATATTCACAAGTTCGTTGAGTTGTGGATGTAATTCAGGCTCTGGCAGAATGCATGAAATGAAGAGTCTCCCCCAGTTTCTCTCCCAGCCCCCTTGGAGCTGTATTGGATGTAGCACATATCCCATGTATCATGAGATCTGCAGCAGAGCAAGCAGCTGAAACACACAGAAAAAAAGCCAACAGTCTGAATTCCGTTAGGAGACTCAATCCCAGCCACAGCTGCACAACAGAGGGTATCTTTTGCCAAGAGCTGGGTTTTGGCAGGCTGGAGATGGGAATAATGGGAATAAAATAGCACTCTAGTGTATTTGGTTACACATGGTGTAGAGAGGAGGGCAAGGTCCCATGCACACTGTTATTTGTGCACCCAGAGGAAGGTCATGGACATCGACAGACACTGTGAGAAAAGAACTGACATTTGGGAAAACGGGTACAGGAATTTTTCCTTCTACATCCTAAGAGACACGGCTGATGCCTTTCCTTTTAGCTTCCAAAGGAACACTAGTGCTTTCTGAGGAACAAAATACTGATTAGGTAACACTGAGTTACCCAGTCACGGTCACCTCCTCAGACAGAAATGCAAGTTAATGGAAAAAAAATAATTAGGGAAATAGATTTTACCTGGAATCAGCAGTATTTAACAGAAAGCAGGTGACAGATTTTGGCAAGCTCAGTAAGTGCAATCTGTCTGACCAAGTTTTTGATTTTTTTGGGGGTTTTTTAAGCACATGTCCCCAACTGTATAAATAGAATTTCAAACAACACAAACAGATCACCAGCTCACAGATCTGTTCCTCTGCAGACAAAACCTGCTATTTTATTAATGCTTATTCAAATCATGCAACTCCCCTTCAGTAATGCCCCAGCACACTCCTCCCCACTCCCAAAATCATTAGCAAATGCCAAGCTCCATTCTGAGTGCATTTAATTAGCGAGGCCATTCTACTCACATTAGTTACTCCACATCAAAAACGGGAGGAGGCGTCAGCTTTTCAAGGAATAAACCATGTCAACTCCAAACCAAATGATTTATATTTATCATGTTTTCCACCTACTACAAACAATTCCAAGCCAGAGGAAGAGTACTATAGATGGCTGGGGTGGGAGAAAGGGGATGAATTTTAGGACTCTTGCACTTGCAGCAAAAGCAACTGTTCAAGTTGTAACGAGCAGCTGGCAAGAGCTGGGCTGCTGCTACTGGGAGAATGTCAATCCCAAAATACACTGTAACCAGCTCAGTTATACATCCCCTCTCTTTCAGAGGGCAGCAGCAAATTTCAGGACAGTGAGGCGGTCACCAAAAATAGGTTAAATAAAAATAGTGTTTGAGGGAGATCTGAATGGACAGAAGGAATCAAGATACAGTAACGGGCAAGACAGCTCAGTGCAGCTTTTTCACTCCAACAGGAATTTACCCTGGTAACTTTTTATTCACTTCAGGGTTTTGGTTTACCCAGCTCATACTCTTTGGGGGAAAAGTCTAGAAACAAGAGACAGTGAATATACAAGAGAACACATCTATGAATATATATATGTATGTGTAAATAAAATTAATCTAAAAAAATGATAGGAGAACTATATTTTGAGTGGACCACAAAACAATCTTGGCAACTAAGAATTTATCAGATCTAAATGTCAGCCACTCAGGAGTTAAGTGTGCATACTTTAGTTTAGGAGAAAAAAAAAATGCCTTTTTCAATTTGGCATCTACAAATTTTACTTCAGCAACAGACTTCCAAAGTCAGTGTATAACTCCACAGATCCTTCTTGCTTATTTTGGGTTTCCTCTTTCCTCCCACAACTCATTCTGCTCTCCTTTCTTCTGACCCACCAATCCATTCCGTTACATTTCTCTAGTCTTCCTTAGACTTCCTTCAGTTCTTGCTGTATGTTTTTAGTTCACCATTTTACATCACCTCAAACACTTTTCATAACCTGCTGGGCCTATTTATTAAGTACTGTTCCTCATTGTTAAAATAAAATCAAAGCTATCAATTTATTCACACAGTGTTACAGCAACACAGCAAGAAAAAAAAAACACACTTGTTATTACAAACCTGAAACTTCTTTTTGTGCTACATTAGCAGCAGGTGTTCCTAGAAATTGAAATACACAGACACGTACAAGACAAGAATAGAACATTGTGATCCATTCCATCTTCTAAAAATCACTAAAAATCTGTATGGAATACAGATAGCACCTACCTTTTCTTTTTGGCATAATTGCATTTCATCTTTATTATGACACCAAGCTCCTGATAACCTACATTGATTCACGTCTGTAACAGGACTAGAGCTGGACAGAAATGGTTTTATATCATAACCCTGCAAGCTTGTTGCAACATCCTTGGCCAGTCACTTCTGCATTTTCTAAGACAATCAATACTGTGTTTTTGCAATTTTCACTATATAGAGATGGAATAATCAATGCCTCAAATCCCCCTTTTATCTCCTGTCAGGGGATCTAAAGCAGGATTTGGCCCAGCAGGACTCCCCAGCCCAGGCTCTGCAATCTGTCACACGTTTCCATGACCCACAGTCGTACTTGTGTTCAACAACACCAAGGAATGATTTTGCATTTCCTGTGGGATATGTTACTCAATGCCATAATCACTGCTGTAAAGGAAGCAGAGCCCCTGAACCAGTTTATGTCCTGCTGTCTTTCCCCTGAGGAAGAGAGATCAGAGATAGACACAACTATTAATACTAATTCAGCTACTATGCATTTAGTAGCAATATGACATGGTGTAATGATTTCAAACTTAAGAGGGTAGACTCAGACTAGATAGAAGGAAAAAACCTTTTATGATGAGGGTGGTGAAACACTGGCAGTTTGTCCAGAGTGGTGGTGGATGCCCCATCCCTGGAAATGTTCAAGGTCAAGTTGGACAGGGCTCTGAGCGACCTGGTCTAGTGGCTGGTGACAGGGTTGGAAGGTCTGTCCTGTGAGGAGAGGTTGAGGGCTCCAGGTTTGTCTAGGCTGGAGAAAGGGAGGCTGAGGGGTGACCTCACTGCTCCCTAAACTTCCTTAGGAGGGAATGTGGAGAGGGAGATGTTAGTCTTCTCTCCCTGGTATTCAGTGATAGGAGTGTGGGAATGGTTCAAAGCCGCACCAGGAAAGGTTCAGAGTGGACATTGGCAAGCATTGCTTTACCAAGAGGGTGGTCAAACCCTGGAACAGCCTATCTAGAGAGGTGGTGGATGCCTCAAGCCTGTCAGTGCTCAAGAGGCATTTGGTCAATGGCCTTAATAACATGCTTTAACTTTGGGCTGACCAAAAGTTGTCAGGATGAATTGCTGTAAGTCAGTTCTAAGTGAAAATATTCTAGTCTGGTCTAGTCTAGTGGAAGATGTCCCTGTTACTACAGGAGGGTCGGACTAGATGACCTTTAAAGCATCCTTCCAACACAAATAATTCTATGATTCTATGTACAACATGAGTATTTTGATTGCACTATGCTTAAAAGGTCAAATGCAGAACCACAAGAGCAAGACAACAGCAGAGTGGAGACTCAGAGAGGCAAGAGGCAGCCTTGCCTCGGAGAGGCAACAGGTTTTCCCTAAAAAACTGTTTCTTGCTGTCTTTATTTCTGACCTAAGCATGCTGCCCTGTGTACAACTCCCTGTTACATAGTCTGCTCAGTCAGAAAAGATCTATGCAATACAGCTGAGGGTGGCATTGTGGTGACACAGCTGAGGGTAGTGTAATGTTGGCATTACCAGAAATGGAAAGGCAGTGATCACAAACAATAAAATTTCTACTGGAAGATGATACAGAGACATTCACTTACAGGAGTACTAGAAGGGCACTAAGGCTGCAAGTTCAAGAAGTCAAAACTATATAATGCCATTTAAATAATTCACAGAGTTATCATTAAGAAGCAGCACAACCTAGTCTTGAGCTGCTCTGCAGTGCAAGTCCCGTAACTCTGAATTTTCTCCTGTTAATCAAAAAATTATCTTATATGTAAACCAGCTACCATATACTGAGATTCTTCAGGGTCTTTATTAAATCACTGTCACTGTTAAAATATGTGCTCCTCCATTTGCAGTGTGAGTTCTCTCTTTTTGAATATTACTAGACTTCATCCACTATGTTGAAGAGTTTCCCCTTACACTACTCCACTTCCCCACACAAGCTCCCTGTAATTAGCTTACATCATATCACCTACTTACTTGATTACTTGCACCTACTTACCCGAATATGATTTAGTATTTCAGTGGCTCTGGCCTGCAGTGAGTCACCCTAAAAGCTTAAGATCCTTGCCTCACCTTATCCTCTGCAAGAGCACTACCTCATTCAGCTTTTTCAACCCATATACTTTCCTTTAAAAACCTAAACAGTCTCTGTCCTTGACCATTAAAATTCTTCCCTGTCACCCTGACCGACCATGTGTGTGTGTTTTGACAGGACAAGGCTGGGGAGCAGGGGAGAAGCTTATGTCTAAAACTGAGTACACATCATCACAACTCAAATAATCTTCCAGGAGACGTTTATTTTTTTCTGTCATTATTAAGCTATCTCCTTAGTCCTAAAAACAGTCAAAAGCCTTCAAGCTCTAACTCTTTCGACTGCAGCATCAAAGAACCAGCATTTCAGTCACTAATTAGGTGCCAATTACCTGTTGCAACTAAGTGGAGTTAACACACGCCTATTTTTGCTTGGACACTTATCCCTTTCTAACTAAACACAGAGCTACAGCAGTACTCTTCACTAACAGCATTATCATCTTACAAGCAAAGAACCATGTGCTTTATTCTACTTTCTGCTTTTACAGGAAGACCCTCTCACCTCTGGGCCAGTTTGAGCTGCTCACCAGGTCATCAAACCAAACACTGATTCCTTACAGTGATGCCTTAAGCCCATAATGGTTTTCTTATTTTTCTACCTTATGAGTTTTATAGGTAATAGAAGTAGATTTTAGAAACCCTTTCTCCCTCCTCCCCCTAGCACCCCTTAGTTTATACATTCCTTAAGCCTCTTACCCCATTCCATACTCCCCATATCAACCCTACCCCCGTATCCAGTAGAAAATGTTTAGTCTCTTAGTCAAGGCAAGCCTGTCTTGTTTGGGGAACGCTTGTATCTTGGCCTAAACCGCAGGACAGAGTCAAGGAACTGGGTGACTCTGCTCTCTGTACCCCGAAGATGATGAAGGATGATGAAGAGGGGGTCCCAAAAAGCCCCTCGACCCAATTCCAGGAGGTGGGCCAGGGGATGGACCAGGCCAAAAGTTACAGGGTGGACACACTTGGGATTGGCCCGATATTGTTATAAATGTAACATCTCAGGCACAGCCCGGGGCGCCCGCATCGTTTACCATCTCTTGCCTTGGCACAATTAAACCCTTTCTTATCTCACCCCAACTAACGGCTCCTGGATTTTTTTCTTAGCACCAGCTGAGCAGGCATCACAGAAACACACTGCAGCGTGCCCTGACTGGAGACAACTTTGTTTTCCCCTCCAAGTGCCATACCCACTCCTCACCAAGAATTGCTTGCTCCTGGGTCAGCTCCTGGAAGCGTTCCCGCATGTTTTCCAGCTCCACAACAAGGCGACGCTCAGATTCCTCTTTCAGGTTCAAGGCCTCTTCTAATGCAGCTTTTTCTGCGACGTAGCCTTCGATAATGCCTAAAATCCCAAGTCAGAATGCAAACAAAGACACGGACAAACTCATCTATTGGGAAAAAGCAGCTTGAAAACATGAGTAAGCAAGTTTTGGTAAACGATGGAAGGTGACATGGAAAGGAAGAAGTAAAAGATGACTTAAGTTTACACTGTAGTTAGGCTTTTTGAAGTACCTTAAGAAATAGAATACATTAACTGATACATTTTAACAGATTTTACAAGGTTGCCATGTTACAGAATGTCTCCAAGTCTACAGAATTCAAATGAGGATCATTAAGCTCTGATGGCCTGGGATCAGCTCACAACATCCTGACACATCCTCTGCTGGGGGTTGAGGTTTGAAGAAACAGAATCTCCAGAAAGGAAGATCAGATGTTACATTCAGAGCCCAAGAAATCCAGGAAATAGAAAGCACAGGATCACAGACCAAGTCGAATTGGAAGGAACCCACAAGGATCATAGAGTCGCACCACAGGCATTGGGAGGAACGAGCCATGAGTAAAGGACACTGAAATCTCATTAAATGACATTAACTTTGTTTTCTTACCCTCTGCTTTATGAAGCTCTAGTGCCAGCTGGTTCTTGGCCTCGCTCTCCTCACTGAGGCACTCCATCAGCTCCTGGTGCTGACTCACCACCTGGGCAGTCTCCTGATTTCGGCGGCTGAACTCCTCTTCAAACTGTGCGTGGTTTTCATGCATTTTCTCCAGCTACAAGTGAACAATTTCCCCAAGCATCAGATCTCGGATGCACATGTAGCGTAATAACACTGCAGACATTTCAACAAAAGCCCTCTGTATTTTTTAATAACACCTCTGCAATAAGGCCCAAGTTTTGAAGTTTCATTTTAGTACTAAGTTGACTTTGCCCAAAACCTCCGAACAATTATCACAGTTGAACAGTATATAAATACAAGGATGTTTGTATGCTGCTATCCACATATTCCCACAACATTTAACATCAGACTGAGTTTTCCTGAACCTGAACCTGCTTATCAATGTTGAAGAAGCATTGACATGAAGTACAATAAAACCCCGTCAAAAAACCTCCCCTCAAAGTTACCAAATGAATCTAAAATCCTAGTTTAAATCTACTTAAGGCAACCAACTTATTGCCTTCCCACAGGATCTGCTGGAAGGCCAAATATATAGCCTTAAAACTGATTTCACATTTTCACTGTTATACATAGAATCATGGAAAAGTTTGGGTTGAAAGGGATCTTAAAGACCACACAGTTCCAAACCCCTGCCATTGGCAGAGACACCTTCCACTAGACCAGGCTGCTGTACATAGATTAAAAAGCTTTACTTGTTTAGTTGACTCTGTAACCAGTTCCAGGAGTCTCTCCACCGCAGTGCGCAAACGATGACAAATTTTCAGTATCATTTCTTCATTTTCACACGCCAATTCTGGCTTTGCAAAAACACTTTCACATAAGTATTGGCTCAACTCAGACCCCTCATCAGCCCCTGGAGACAGCTGGTTGTGTTCTGTGAGAGTTTCATCAAGCAGCTCCTCTACTGAAAACAAGCAAGCTGTTTAAAAACACACACACAAAAAAAAAAGACAGCCACAAAACCCGTCACTCAGATAACAACTGACATCAGACACTGACCTTGGTTGGTCCTGGAGATGTACTACAAGGTGAAAACTTAGACACATCAACAACTCAATGTAAAAAAAAAATCACCAAGGCTTTTCACAACATTTGGAATTATTATTCTATACATCAGGACCTGAAACTCTGCATTCACCAAGTCCATCTTTCCTGCCCTATAATCCACTGGGGCTTTTTAAACAACATTTTAGTAGTTGCACTATTAAAAGAACCAAATTGAGATAACATCAATAGGCACTGTTTTAAGTGTGGATCAGCTTTGAAAGACACAGAAACACTGTAACAAGAGATATCCTCTCTCTTAACTTCATCCATACAAAAGGAAAGGAAAAGGCAGTTTTCAAGAACATGAGCTGATGACGTATCCAGGTTTGCTGATTTGGACTCACCTTTCTCTAGATGGTTTTCTTTGGCTTTGAAATATTGCATAAATCCCATTTCTTCCACAATAGTGTGAGCTTCTCTAGAATCTCCAGAAGCCAGGCTGTCATCAAGACAAAGACCAATCTTGCTACAGATAAGGTCCTCAATAGCTATTGTTGCCTTCACCAGTTCCATAAGCAACTTCAAAACCTGCTGATAAGATTCACGCAGTTTTTCCCTAGAACAAAAGCATATCCAACACTTCAAAAACTGCATGCACTCGATTTGAAAGACACTCTGAACCTACTGAAAACCTGACAGTCTAAAATGGGTATCTTGCCATAGTCTGACAGTTATCAGCAAAGACGATTCAGGTGACTCACAAAAAAAAAACAAAAAACCAGGTAATTTTCGAAGAGCTGGTTCAGTAAAACACCTTTGTTTTCCCCACAGGTAGATCACACTGCAATCCCAAGCATCTCAGCCTTCCACATCCATGGAAGCACCAGCAAGGAGTATACATCTACTACTATAGTATCAGTGACATCAAAATAACTAGGGGTGCTCTGGCAGAGTTGACAACAAAAATTGTATTTATGAAAACATTTTAGTTTTAAGCAAAACAGTAAGCCAGTTTCCTAAAGATGAGAGAGAGGGAATTCTTTTAAAAGCTTATTCAGCATGACAGCTGCTCCAACCCACATATTCCCATGACACGTCAAAACAACCCACATTGCACTGAGAGGTTCTGTGAACAAGAGGCTTTCTCCATTTCTTAGATTTTTCCAAGATGAGAGACAGTGGAAACCCCAAAATGCCAAAATCTTCACCAGACTGCACAAAAAAGAGCAAGAAAAAAACCCCCTTGCCCTCCATGTCCAGATAGGTTGGTAATTTAAAAAAAAAAAACTTGAAAAACTTTGCAAATAAAACCAACATATCATCCTAAACTATTAATTTCAGCTGGCTTAATTTTGCCTGGTTATTGATTTCTTTATGAGAAGTGAGAAAACAAGCAAACAAAAAAACCCCAAGCAGTAAACATTATGTAACCAAAGCTGAACAAACCTTTCCTCCTTGGATTGCTCAATATCAGATCTCAACAAGGCTACCAAATTCCCTCCTTCTTGGTTTTCCCTGTCCTGCCACTGAAGGAGTGTCTCCAGTTCAGAGTTGGTCTCCTCTATTTCATGCTTTAAAGACTCCACTTTCTTCTCCAGCTGTAGAAATGCAGTGACAATGCAACAAAGTCAATCATTTTGCCTAAACTTTGCTTTATAAACCCTACCTGAAAACAAGTTTCTGGAAAAGTTATTTATCTCCTCATATTAGTATGCTCAGATGATACCTTTATCCAATTAAAATGTATGTATATAAAAATAAAAATAAAAATACATGTATGTATGTATATACCCACCCCCTACCTCCAGATTTTGCTGCCAAACAAATTAGTGCCATTTTGTTAGAAATTCTGTCCCATAAGTAAACAAAACAAAAAAAAAAGTCAAAATATCTATTTGGGAGGACACTGCAAGGAAAGAAAAGCATTCTGCTCCAGTGCCAACCTTCTGACACCTCATCAAATCCTGCAAGAAGAGCTGGAATCAATAATGCACTGCCAGTAGGGAAATTCTCAAGTGTTACTCCTGTTTTTTCCCTTAAACAGGAAGGCCCAGCAGAACAGTTTAATATACCACAAGAACTATACATGCAGTCCCTCTATACACACCTTGAGACAGAGGAGATCACTGTGCTAAAAAAACCAACCCCAAAAGCACATTTAAATTCTAGGTTTAAGGTATTTTCCACACACCTGGATAATTATTGCTGTCTTTTCCTGCAGCTGGACTGATAACATCTCTTGCTCCTTTTGGTGAGCAGCCTGTGCCTTCTCCCTCTCCTGAATCAACATCTGCTCCTTGTCATGTAGTGATGCCTTTTTTTCAGCTTCAAATTCATCCTGCATAAATCACATACACTTGGATTTACAGAGAGAGGAAAGAAAACCCCCAAAACCACCACCACCACCACCATCCTCCCAAAAAACCCCCAACCAAACATCCCCCCTACTTTTTTTGTACTCTTCAGAAGCACACACTTTACCTCTTGGATTAACCAGCAGTGACTTACACAGTCAACACCCCCAGTCAACAAAATCATGCTCAAACTATGATCAAAACCAAAACCAGTGTGGCCAGCAGAACCAGGGCAGTGATTGTCCCTCTGTACTCAGCATTGCTGAGGCTGCACCTTGAGTCCTCTGTCCAGTTCTGGGTCCCACACTTCAAAAAAAGACATTGAGGTGCAAGTCCAGAGAAGGGCAACGGAGCTGGGGAGGGGTCTGGAGGGTAAGTCCTATGAGGAGCAGCTGAGGGAGCTGGGGGTGTTTAGGCTGGAGAAGAGGAGGCTCAGGGGAGACCTTGTCATTCTCTACAAGTACCTGAAAGGAGGCTGTAGCAAGGTGGGGGTCAGGGTCTGCTCCCAGGGAACAAGGGACAGGACAAAAAGAAAAGGCCTCAAGCTGTACCAGGGTAGGTTCAGGTTGGACATCAGGAGGAATTTCTTCACAGAAAGGGTTTTCAGGCATTGGAAGGGGCTGCCCAGGTTGGTGATGGAGTCCCCATTCTTGGAGGCGTTCAAGAACAACTGGATGTGGCACTCAGTCCTCTGAGTTGACAAGGTGGGGATCAGGCCTAGGGTAGACTCAGTTATCTTGGAGGTCTCTTCCAACCTACATGATTCTGTGAAAGCACTCTGAAGGAAGGGATTACTAGACATTGCCCACTCCTGCATCAGCAAATAAGGGAGGTGAAACAAGGTCCTGCTATCCCTTTCCAAAGAGAATCATAGAATCCTTTTGGTTGGAAAAGCACTCCAAGATCACCAAATCCAACCATTAACCCAGCACTCCCAAGCCCACCACTAAACCACATCTATAAGCACCACATTCACACTTTTTTTGAACATTTCCAGGAATGATGATCCCACACTGCCCTGGGCAGCCTGTTCCAATGCCTGACCACTCTTTCAGTGAAGAAATTTTCCCTTATATCCCATCTAATTCTCCCCTAGCGCAACTTGAGGCCATTTCCCCTGGTCCTGTCACTTGTTACCTGGGAGAAGAGGCTGATCTCCACCTCCTGTCTACACCCTCCTGTCAGGGAGTTGTAGAGAGTGAGAAGGTCCCCCCAGTCCTCCTTTTCTCCAGGTTGAACACCTCCAGCTCCATCAGCCACTCCTCAGAGGACTTGTGCTCCAGACCCTTCCCCACCTCCATTGCCCTTCTCTGAACATGCTGAAGAGGTTGAGCTAAGAGGTTAAAAGGATCAGTGGTTGTTTCTGCAACACCAGAAGCGGGGAATGATCACGGTATAAAAAAAACTCTGGCAATTTTGTCTCTGAACACCAATGCACTCCAAGGTGATAGCCAACTATTTCTTACACTGGCAAGTCAAGAAAACAGTTATTCCCCAGGGCAAGAAATAAGACTTCAGAGCAGAGCACCTGATTCTTTGCAGAAGACTGAGCCAGTCCTTGCACTGTACTTAGCAGTTAAGAAGGTAAAAAGTGAACAGACACAAAGGAGTAGAGGACTTTCCTCGACCTAGAACACTGAATTTGCAGACGGTCTCTGAAACAGCCTCCCTGTTATTCTCAGATCCAGTTAAAGTGTATCAGACCATAGAGAGGAATTCTGAATACCAGAAATCTGGCAGAGGGAAGAAAAGAAGGAAACTGGCTGGCACAAAGACAACTGCATAAATGAGCACAGGGTAGTGGGCAGGGAAGGACTTGTAAAAATATGTATCAGCACACAACGCAGCTCAGCCTGACATTGCAAATAGATCCAGCCAGTCTCTTCTGAGACAAAACACCAGTCATTAAACCCATGGAGCAGGGGGGGGAATCCATAGACAGCTGAACCAGCAGGAGAATTAGCCCTGGCAAAATTTCAACAAAAAGTGAGGTTTCTGGTGTCCCAAATGCTAATTAGGGTAGCATGAGAGAGAAAAAAGCAGAGACCACTTCTGGAGTATCTGCATAACACTCAGTCTGGTCCCAGCTCCTGTGTGCTGAAGGCTGGGGTTCAGCTGAGGACAGCAATGCCAAATATACCTGCAGCAGCTTTTCAGGATACACTTGTGTCCTCTGTTTCAAAAGAGAGCTGCACCAGACAGAGGGAAGTCAAAGAATGGTCAGGACTACACAGAGGCCAGAGGCAGGAAACATCTTGAAAATGCTTATCATGATGGAAGTTTGGAACTCAAATGATGAATCAGTGAAAGCAGAGATTAACAACAACAAATATCTCATACACAAAGAGCTCACTGTCATCACAGACTTAGTAAAAGCTCAGATAACACTGAATATGATTTTGCCAAACACACAGGAGTGCAGTAGACACGGGATGACAGGCCAAGGGCAAAGTCTCTGCAGACACCAAGAAGAAAATGTCTCAAATGACAAATTGAACATGTACACAAGGAATGTTCCTTAGAGCAAATATTTTCCACTGACTTTTTTGGTTTTGTTTGAAGGACACCATTTCATATCCAATTCAGAACCTGAAAACAACCCTGTAGTAAATACAACTGCTCACAGAATACTGCTTTATTTCCAATGCTACCTTTCTAGTTCTAACATGGTGAAGCAAGGAAGAGATCTAACTCAGATTGTCATTTGAGAGGCTGAAGAACAAAAATCTATACCAGTTGCTCTTTCTCAGCAAAACACTCTTCCAGTGCATACTCAGAAGTGCATTTTCACCAGAGCCTACCTTCAGCTGAGCAATCTGCTGTTCCAGCAGCACTTCTGACTGACACTTCAACAGCTCAATCTCCTCCTGGAACTGAAGCTGCTGCTTCAATTTTACCTCCTCAAACTGAGCCAGAAGAGCTTTCCGCACAGATTCTATTTCAGAGGCCGATGCAGAAGCATACAGCTGTAGACAAGTAAGGAATATAAAGTATTTTGGACCATAGTATTAGAATTAGGGAAAAAATTAAACCAAACCAAACCCATCAAGCTCAACCAAAAAGTCTTAAAAGTATGTTCACAAACCTCAAGGTCATACAGGGCTTCTTTCTATCACCATGCTGAGTACAGAAAAAAGAAAGCTGATAAAAATAGATAAGAAACAACCAGGCACTAGGTATCAGTATTTCCTGTATTTATGAGACTATCAGGTCAGGCTTATAAAGTATTCCTTATTCTTTCCAACAGATACTTCCCCAAGAGAAATTCAAAGAAATAAGGAGGAAAGAGGGGGAGAGAAACACAGGGAGAATATATTTTGTTAAGAAGCGATTTCTCTTGTTCAAATGGGAACAAACAGTACACAGCTATATTTAATGCAATTATCCTACGAGACACAACAGAGAAAGGTTTGAGGACCTTTTTCGTTCATTTGGGATTTTTTTCTTGTTATTCTAAGAAGAGTCACAGTAGTCATCAGAATGGTCATAAATCCTCTTTCTAGGATGAAGAGCTTAAAGACTGAGTAACCATTAGAACCTCCCAGAAAACTAACAAAATTACCTTCCTAGGCAATCTATTCTTCCAAAAGTGATTTGAGAGATATTTGGAACACTACCCAACTTCCAAATTAGTAAGTAAAAAAGCCAAAGTTAGTTGTATTTTAACTTAACATATTTTTTGTGGTTATACTACTACATGAATGTAATATATAACACAGGAAAGTGAAAAGTCTTCATCACTCATGGCTGCTTGCATGCACAGAAGTCAGACTGCATAAAAAACTGAATGAACAGAAGATCTTAATTCCATTTTGATGCTTAGAGAACTTAGTGTAATAATCAATTTTTTTAGCATTCAGTATCAAAGTAAACATCATCAAGCTTACACATAAACATTCCCAACAAGAAGAAATGGCAAAGCTTTAAGAGCAAATAGGAAGATTTCTCAACCTCACTGAGAAATCACATTTGGAAAAGTATTACCTACTATAATTTCTCTAAGAAAAGAAGAAATCAGTGTTAGAAGAAATAAATGTTAGCAACGGATTTTTACTTAAAAAGCAGTTGCTTTCCACAAATGGTTAATGACCTAAACTATTGCCTACTAGTTTTAAATCAAAATGGCAGCTGTAAAATTTTGAATTAAATATGACAGGATCTCAAAAGAAAGCAAGCCTAGACCAATCTCATAAAGAGAGTACTGCAAACATGGCCTTAAATTTTTTTTTTTAAAATCAGTCTAATACACATATGCAAATTCCCTTAAGTCCTTTCAGATAAAGCAAGGCCTAAAACTGTTAAATTTGTCTCTTCATATCTACTGGCACTATTAAAAAAACTCCAGAAGCATCTTATTTCTAAGGTTAATAAAACTGAATTTACTTTAAGATAAAGCATGAATTATTTTGGTTTTAGGTATTAGCAACATTCTGACCTCTTGCTCATGTTCATGCTGTGCTTTTAGTTTCCCCAGTTCTTCTTCCAGCTCCCTGGAGTACTCCTCCTTATGTTTCCTAATTTCTGCCTCATGAAGATCCTGAAGCTCTTGGAGGGCCTTTCTGTGCTTTTCCTCCATATGCAAGACTTCCTCACGCAACAGATCCAGAGCCAGACGTTTTTCTTCTTCCAGCAACTGCCTTTGATTTTGAAGAGCTATGTTCAAATCATCCTGTGTAAGGATTAATTAAAAAAGGGGAGGGGGGAAGAAATCATTACAAATATCTTTGCAACCTCTTCCTAAAACACATCCTGCTTCTCCTCCTGTATCAAAGCTTTTCTAAGTAAACAGGAACGATATTGCCTCGTGAATGATGAGCACACATACATATACATATTCTCTACAGCATTTAAATGGGTTTATTTTTCTTGTCTAGTAAAAGTTTTGTAAATTCCCTACTTATTAGGAAGGATCTTTAGATTCCCAGAGATGTGGCTTAACCTCCAGGATTATGTTTACCTTTTTTCTAATCATCTTCTGAAGAATTACACAACTCTGTCAGGGAGAGAAGCTCTGAACCACAAAATGGAGACTTTCGGGCCTGAATTGTGCTGAAAGATTTACCTCATTTGCACCTTTTCCACACACTGAGATAGAAAACTCATTGGAGTGAGCATTTGGGACAGGAGGCAACAGATGGGCTTAATTTTCAGCTGGAGTTTCCTATTTCAGCTCTCAATATGGCCACACACAAGTGTCAGTGCTGGCACAAAGAGGCTGCAGAAACGTACCCTGAGAACAAGGGAAAAGGTGATCCCACACAATGTACCACGAAATTTCACCTTCTATGCCAGGTTTTCTTTCTGACTCACCTTATGAGCTTCTTCTGCTTCAACAGCCATGGCTTTCAGCTTTTCCATATGAACAGTAGCTAGCTCAATTTTCAAATTATTCTGAGAAAGCTGAAGTTCTTCAGCATGCTTTAATTTCAGCATCTCAATCTCCTGGATCAGGTGTGCTTGATGCAGTTTATCCTGTTCTTGGAGCTGTTCCATGTGCTGCAGCTGTAGCTTCTCCAAAGCCTGGCTGTGTTCATCTCTTATATTCTGAATTTCAGACAGGTAGGATGACTCCAAGGAATCCAGATTTGATAAGTGCTTGGCCTCCAGCTCATCAATTTGGGCCTGATGCTTTGTCTGTAGTTCAGCAACACAACCTTCAAGTTGAATCTGCTGTTTACTTTCCAGTGTAGATTTAAGAGTCTCAATTTCAGCTTGGTGTTTTGTTTGAAAATCAGCTGTCAGAGACAAAATTTGCTGCTTATGCTTCTCCTGTAGGTGCTGACTTTGGAGTTCCAGCTCATCCACATGTTTCTTTTTCAGCTCTTGGAGAAGAATCTCTTGCTCAGTTGTGAATTTCTGAGTCATAGCTTTGTGTTCCTCCATAAACCTGTATTATTTACAAGAAAGTTAAGAAACTATTGTCAAAAAGGCACTGCTTGGGTTTTTTTAAATAATTGAACTAATAAATAAAAATCAAAGGAAAATAAATAGACCCTACCTTGCCTCCACAAGTTTTCCTTTATGCTCAAATACAGAACTAAATTCAAAGCAAGCCACAACAATGATTTAGTAGCCACATAATAAAAGGTTTCTGCAGTGTCACTTGCTAGTATCTGGTTATTACTAGAGAGACCCCTATTAACTTACTAAAACTAAAACACTGCCACATGAGAGCATCTAGGACATGGTATATACATTGCTACCTCTCAAATATGTTGCCTGCAAGTAAAGGCACTGTCATAACAAACACCCCTAAAAACTTCTGCTAAAGACAGACATAAAACCACCATGGAAGTGTTATGTGGGATACGTGGGGGCTCCTCCAAACTCATCTCTCTGAGGTCTGCTCAAAGCTTCATGCAGAAAATTAACTGTCTAAAGTGTTGCCACTTGCTGTAATCAGTAATATGGTATTTCTGGATACAGACACCCATAACTAAAGAGCAATCAATTATCTAAAAGTTAAGTTTCTGCTCTCAGTGTTTTCTTGCTGTCATTATTTCTCCAATCTTGTTCTGTGAGCATGTGTTTGGGGAGGAAAGAAGGGATATATTTGAAGCAATGCATACAGATACAAACGTGGTTGCTTGAATATTTTCTGTAATACACTTTAAAAATAGGTGCAGGAAAGGGAAGAAAACCAGTAGTTCCAGCATTCACATCTAACCAGAACTAAAGAATACCAAAGGGGGCCATATCAACCTCAGCATTCAGTAGTTAGCACAAGCTTCATTCACCACGAAAAGCTTGCTCAAATTCATTTGAATTGTTTGAAAATATTTAGAGAATTTTTTCACTCATATGTCCTGTCACACTTCCTCTCTTCAAAGCCTGGCATATGATTTTTCAGCTGTGTGTTGTACTCTTAACAGGCAGCACTTGACTACGTTTTCTCTGCTAGACTAGATGAAATGCATTTACACGAAGCAAAATTACAGAGCAAGCCATAATAGACAGCATTACTGTTCCTTGGGACAGCAAGCCTTACATATGTAAGTTAGTTAGTGCCATCAAGTGACAAACCTACATCACTAATACTCATGAAGTTTAAAGTAAGAAAAAGCAACCGTAACAATGAGTGAACCGTTAAGGGAAACTGCCCACACGCTCTGGACTCACTTGTTTTGTGCTTCCATAAGTTTCAGAGCACATTCTTCCTGCAGAGACAGCGTGGCCTTTTCCATTTCCTTTGCCATGAGGGCTTTGGCTGCCTGCAGGTCAGCCTCGTGCTGCTGCTGAGCTTTCTGCGCAGCCTGCGCGCTCGCAAGGCCGTCCTCCAGCTGCTGCAAGTTGTTTTGCTGCTCCTTTACCAGCTTCTCCAGTTCCAGAATTTTGGCAGCTTGGTGATCTCGAAGTTGATTCATTTCAGCTTCACGAAGTTCAAACTCTTTCTGCAAACTCTGCTTCTCAGAGTCCGCTCTGTTTTGCAGCTCGATGCGCAGCAGTGATAACTTCTCTTCTGCTTGGATTCTCTGGGCCTCACTTTCACATTGCCATTTCTTCTCTTTTTCTTTGTACATAGTCTCTATTCTCTGGACTTCTTCTCTGGCTTCTCTTAATTTATTCTTGTGATCCTCAGCAATTTCGTATTTTACCTGTGAACACAGTTATTAAAAAAAAAAAAAAAAAGAATAAAACACCAAAACCAAACTGAAGTGCATGAAGTGAACATTCTCAGGCATTTAAGGTCCTGGAGAGGTTCAATTCTTGTAGTGAAGTAACCCTTCCTAATAAAAGTAAGGCTGAAATGTCAATTTATGAATGGACATGCATCAAATTCAATGCATTTTTGAGAATTGGGGTAAGGAAGATTAAGAAAAAAATAAGGCAAAATTCTAAAATTAATATGGTACTCTACATTGTTTTCTCTTGAGGTCACTTATCTTCTTTTTAGAAGTTCAACTTATACAGCTATGGGCACCTTAGGTATTTATATTGGGTATGAATAAAATTCTCTTTTAAACTTCTCCTTCTACATTCCAGTGGTATTTTACATGTAGTGTCCAAGTTCATGACAAGGGCAGTTCTTGGACATAAACACAAAAGCCACATAAAAAGCACGTAGCACAAAAACAGAAGCCAAAGCTTCTGAGCAAATGATTGTTCAATGAAAGAAGGCAAAAAAAAAAAAACACAACAAAACTCTTTCTCTGGCTTTCTTCCTCATTTTTTAAGTCTGGAAAAGGATACACATACCCATCTCTTTTTAAAAAGGGAGGAAAGGAAGACTTGAGAAATAAGAGCTTAATCCATCTAATTCTCATTAGCATTCAAATACTGCAACAAATTAAGCAACTAATTAACATCAAATCTAAGTTTATCCTCAGATTGGGACCGCTGATTTAACCTGTAAGAGGGACAGTACCATGTAGGATTCTCTCAATTCTAAAGACTTTGAACAGGAAGGTTACAAGAGCTACACCAAAACAGACTTGTATTCCAACGTTTGTGTGTATCCAGGCAAGTCCATTTAAAGCTGAAGCCACTATCCCTAACCCAGGGACATTTAAAGGTAAGTGCTGCCTCTGCCTCCCTTGGCCTCCCCAACTCTACACCAAACAGTTCTGTGACACAAATTAACCTTTTCCATTTCTTCTTTCAGATGCTTCTCATTCTGCTCAGAAAGATCTTTCTGCTTTACCATCTCTTCCTTTAAGTGCTTTATTTCCTCTGAAAGCTCTGCAATACGCTGTTTCTCAGAGCTGAGGAGAGCGAGTTTGGCTTTGTGCTCCTCCTCCAGTACAGACACTCGCTCAGCCACCTCCATTTCAACCTGACACGCTGCATCATGGGCACTCTGGAGACGCAGTTTGGTGATCTCTGGAAAGGAAAAAAGAAAAAAGCAAAATAAAAACCCAAACCAAACAATGAAATGACATTCTGGAATTTATCTTATTTTAACAGATCCTGCTAATGCACAGAAATGAAGCTGTATAGCCAGGCTAACTACAGGACAACAATAATCCCATATCAGGAGGATTTTGTACTCTGTTCCATTTTATCACCGCCTTTGGAATTTATCAGTATCAACACACAGAAAAATCATAAATCCTGTGGCTGGTCCTCCCTCCTTATCTACAACAGTCACATGAATTGACTTTCTATTTGGGCAATGTAACAGCAGATTTATGGACGTTTCATCTCCTCTTTTGCACATACTACTTACATAAAGCATTTCCCCAAAAATCAGATGGGACAATCTCTAAACGCTCTAATTTAAGCAGTTTTGACATACTGTCTACTATTAAAAATACATAAAGATAACTGCAAATTAAAAAACTGTACTGATCCTTTTAGCCAACATACAGTTGGATTATAGTTATAACAATGCATGTTAATTAGCTAACTAAGTTATAGATTTTAAATCCAAGTGTTTCTGTGACAGTGCCCTTCTAGGCATCAAAAATGGAAAGCTGATCCTTTTAGCAACTGCTCCACAGTTTTAGTAGTTTTTACTATAGAATAAAAAACTTCAGGTCACCACATCTTTGGAAGTACAACTCAACATGCCCATAAGTCCTCGATGACAGGGTTTAACATCTGGTAAGTGTTCCCCACAATTAAGAATAAACTAATAAGAAATTTAAACAGATAAGTCTGTTTAAAGAAAAATATATGCCACACAAGCAGCTTACCATTTTCCTTCCCACTCTATCAGACCATCCTACCTTTAAAATGTTCTTCTGAAAGCTGGGCACGGAGCTGCTCAAGTTCTAAACTATGTTTTCTCTTCATTGCCTCAATTTCTGTCATGCATTTGTCTGACAGATCCATCTTCATTTTCATCAGGTCCTCTTTATACTGAAGTGCAAGGGAGGATCTTAAGGAATCTAATTCATGCCTGTGTTGTTCTTTAAGTTGTAGCTGCAGACAGGCAAGTTCTTCCTACAAATAAAGGGTTAGGAAGAGATCTTTAGCTTTCAAGAAACCATGAAAGAAATCTTTCAATGAGAGGAAGGAAAATTCCTTTTTGAAACTTAGTCAACTTGAAACGAGTTGAGCAAAGATGCCAAAATCTTAAATTACAACAAGATGCATGACAATAGGTGCATAAACGAAAGAGGGACTGAGCTAGCATCTTGGTTTGAAGAGAACAAACAGCAAAGAAAGGCACAGTTACTACCAGGACTACAGAGAAGAGGAACAACAATTCTGCACTTGTGTAGAAGAGCTTTGTACACGAGTTCCTTACTCGTCACAGGATAAGCCGGAAAGCACATAAAATTACAGAACACTGATCTGTTCTGCTGGGCTGAGAACTATTTTAAGTCAATAAAATATACTTGTCAAAAATAATTAAGCCTTACTAAACATCTGAAATTAATTAACTCTTTGTAAGAGCAAGTAATTAGACATCTATGTTCACACAGGTCATATAATGAACAAGAGAACTTTCAGTATATCAAAATCCTACCTGATGTTGATTTAGCTGATCAAGTGCAACCCTTCTCTCTTTGTCAGTAGTATCTTCAAGAACTGCGACAGAAGAACTGAGAAAAGGGGTTTTAAAGTTTTTAAGATTGTAAATGGAGTCATGAAAGGAGTTAATTTAACTTGATGGCTTGCAGTGTACTACTGAAAGTAGACAAAGAGCAACTACAACAACTGCTCAGGACTGGGCCCTCATCACATCCATCACTAGGTTTCTAACTACCTAATGCTCAATCTCAGAATGTTTAGATGCTAACATCCTCTTTTGTACTAAAAAAAATAAAATGGAAGCATGCTGTCATAGCATGGGATAAAAGGAAAAAGAATAGATCACCTGATGTCCCCTGCTTGATCCTGACTCATTTCCAACTCTGATAGTGAATAGTCCTTCAGTTCTTGCAGTCTCTGATGCAACAAAGTCAATTCTTCTCTGTAGTTTTCTTCAGCAACTCTTAACTTCTCCTCAAAATAAAGCCTCAGTTGTTCCAGTTGAGCTTCATGCTCACTGTTTCTTTGCTGACGCTGCTGTTCAAACTCTTGTTTTAAACGCTCTATTTCTTTTACCTGTGATGCACGAGCCAGGAGCTGCTCTTTTAGCTCTGGAATGGAGGCAAAACCAACACAAGCACTAAGAATACATATCTTTAGGCTAAGTAATTCTGTGAAGATCAGATTTAGTTGCCGAGTGTTGTGGTTTAGGAATGGTATCACCCAATTTAGTACTCCCACTAAAAAGACCACGAGCTGCTCCCCTCCCTCTCCAACAGGAGGCACAAAAGGGGTAAGATCATGGGTTGAGATCAGAACAAATTGCTGGAAACAGCAATGAGGTAAGAAAACTAACAGTAACACCAACAATATTAATAACAAAAGTGTACAAAGGAGAGGATGATTCACATGGAAAACACATTCATGGTGGACCTGGGGTGACAATTAACAAATGGTGGGTGGTTTCCCCCTTCTACCACGTCCTTCTCAGAAGCCAGAGAGTCCCTTCCTCCTGCCCACAGCAATGACCTGAGGTGGTACAGAATAACCTCACAGCCTCTAGAATAACCTCCAGGCTCTGCCCCCTCACAGCTACTGAGAAAAAATAACTCTGTCCTGGCTAGAACCAGGACGCTTAGACAGCAGCAAAAAGTTATCCCACAAGCTACATAAGTAAATGAACTTCTGAAAGACAAAACATTCCTTCCTCTGAAGACACATTCTCATTTACACTGCATTCAGAGAAACCATCCTCATGAGGAGAATCAAAATTATCAGCAGACTGTTAGTCCTCCTCGTTTCCTGCAGCTCTAGTCTAGTAACAGGCAGAGCCCTGTACTGTTGCTTAAACTTCACACCTGCTTGTTGCAGCACCCAGAAGCAGTGAATTAGTCAGTCATTTAATTTGCTCCAGACAAAACTACCCAAAAAGAACCAACTTTAGCACAAACTAAGCAGAAAAACAAAAATCACAAGAAATAAAATTAATAAAATCAATTCTGGATTACTTCATTGATGGTTTGGCTGCTCATCGTGTGCACAAACAGAAGCTGAACTCACTGAATTAAGAGGAACCATCCAACAAAACAGGAATGCAGTAGAAAGCAGCTATCAAAGGCTGTTTTAGCAAGCTGCCCTCCTTCCAGGGAGCGAGGACAATGGCCAGCACTGCAGCCTATTCAACAGCCCTCTGAGAGCTTTCTTCCCCACCTTCTGTATTAAAGCAGCAGTAACATATCAGGAAGTTAAAAGGTGGGGGGAAAAAAAGGACAAAAACCATGAGAAAGAGTTTTCCAGATAGTTCAACTTTCCAAATAACTAAAGTTAGCTGAATCCCCAAAGAATCGACTGAAGAGGGAACTGCATTTCAGGAAGAAAGAACTTGGTGAAATTCTTTGAAAAGAAAGAACTTGCTTGGAGAAAAGCAGCTGCTTATGTTACACAAGAAGAGAAAGTTCAGAAACACTGATAGAAACAGAGGATGCCATCCAGGAGCAACACTGAGTTGACTGTCACACTGTGTTTTTTTGTAGCAAGCCAGAAAATGCACACTTGGCAGGAAAAAATTCTCACAATGAACATTCAAATAGAAAGAGTAAGAGAAGAAATAAGTGTTCAAGGTCAGGTTGGACCTGAAGGTGGAATCAAGTGGCAAGAAGGGACTGGTAACACCGTCAATGAGATAGGTAAGGGAAGTCCAATCTGCCACGGGTAGGTTTTGCCTAACCAGTAAAGTCTACTGGCACAAAATTAACCCCCCAAAAAAGTGTTCAACAGCTTTGAACTGGCATGTCACTCTTACATCAAAGCAGTAATCCATGATCCAGCTGCTATGATTTGAATCCACCACCAGGAGTCCCCCATCAGTCCAAATGCATTGTCAAATGATCACTCAAGTGAAGAACAGCAGAATAAAACAAACACTAAGATCTCACACACCAAAAGAGAGATCCTCACCTGGACCACAGGCCTGCATTCTGGTCTCACCATCTTCAAGTAAGATGAAGAAACAGAAAGCGTCCAAAGAATGGGAATGTGAGTGATTAGACACATGGAAAGACATTTGAAAGGTTAAAGATTAGGGCTACAGAGAAGAAATATTCCAGCAAATACTATAAAGTGCTATGTGCTATAATTCTGTAATATCAAAATAACGTTATGAAATAGTCAAGTCTGGCTAGATAGAAATTTATTTAATGTACGACCCAAACAAACAATATCCTCACAAAACCCTAATATATTTCAAAAGCTATTTACAGTTATATTATTCAGAAAATCTGAAATAGTATTTGAAGCACATTACATGTGCCTTCTGTTTTAACTACCCCAGTAGAAGTCAAGAACCTCGTGTCACAGTCTCAACACAAGGTGAAGAGGCAGAGTCAAGGTTAACTCATGGTCTCTAGGTTTTTTATTTTTCTAAAAGTTCTTCTTTCATGTATTACATATCTCTTTGTGCACACACATCTGAGACATGTTCAACTTCATCTCAACCAAAAATGTGTCACCTCCAATCACTACACTGCAAAACTGGCTGTTTTATTTAATACACCTGGATCTTGAAACAGAAATACAAATAGGAGTATGTTATTGTACTGACCAGATCTTCTCCACTTTTTAACTACATTATACCTAATTTGACATTGCAATGAAAAATGTTTGGTTTTCCCTAAAGATTTTTATAGTGTGCAGGAAGGGAGTGGAAAGGGAAAGGAAAACCACAGGAGTAAGCTGTTCCCCACAGTCACACCCTGCTTTTTGACACTGCAGAACCTGTCATCTGGCACTGACTCACCTCTCACTCCAGAAACAGACCACTGGGGTACAACCCACTGACACCATGGCCTATCTGTGTGTTTCTGGTACATACTTAGAAGAATTTTGTGTCAATAATGTGAACTTCTGTGTGAAGAAGAGGCAAAAGCTCAAATGTGTCAGTTTTGAACATACCACTTAGCTCCTGTCGGTTCGCTCGGGTACTGTCAAGCTGAGACCAAAGCTGCCGGATTTCTTCTTGTGACTGAGCCTGGAGTTGTTCATGCTTGACCTGAAGCTGGTCCAGCTACAGAAAACATGTTAAAAAAAAAAACAACAAACCACAACTTTTTAAACAATTCTGTTCTAATTGCTTAATTTTATATGCAACAGACACTTGTGTCAGAAATAGGTGGAACCACTTAGTGACAACCAGACACTCAGCTCCTGACAGTATCACGTACTGAGTAGTACTTAACTATTACACCCACTCCTCTGAGAGGGAGGAATTTGTTCCTGATGCCATATTTATCTTCACTGGCAAAAAATAAAGCGTTAGCTAGATAAAAACACAACAAGAGAACAAGAAAATTAAGCATATAAATACAGAGGAAGAGACAGCACCTAATGGCCCAAAGGTGATTGCATTCCAAAGGTTTTGAACTCCTATGGAAACTCAGAGGATCTATCTGCTTCATGAGATGCATTTTGGTTTTTCAGTAACATCCCTAAATACAAGCAGGTCACCCAGATGATATGCATATGGTCTAGTTTTTGTTATGCAGAGAGTACTCAACCACTCTAAACAACTAAAGAAGTGTAATTTACCTCCTTCTGAAGGTTCTGTTCTTTTTCTTGGCTTTTCATCTTCATCTCTTCTAGGACATGGTTATGCTCAGCCTGCAGCTGTTCTTGTAACTTTGTAATGGCTAACTGGTGTTGCCTCTCCAGTTCTATACATTTTACTAAAATTAAAAATGAGTTCTGTTACTCCATCATCCTGGTTAATGAATAACCTGTACAGCTTTTGTGCAACAAAAACAGACATGTATGTCTCTAGCCTGCATGCTAGCTAACAGGGAATCACAGAAATACTTCAATAGCAAAGTATCTGAAGGTCAAACATTTCCATGCAATGCTTTCTAGTTCTCTGCATCCCACACTGCTGGCCAAGAGACAGCCAGCTTTTGAAACTTTAGTTCCACTGAGCTTTAACTATTCACAATCCAAACATGATTTTTCGTTAGAAGAAGCTCCTATTAATATTAATAGGAATATTGATTAATCCAGAAACTGTCAAAACTGGTTTTCAGCTGGAAGCAAAACAGCACCTCCCTTTAATATGTTTCCACCTCACATTCTGTGGAAGTCAAAATGCAACAATGTTACCTAGGTTTTAAAAAATTTTTCATTTGCAACCCATTTGCTAGACAGTCATGCCACCATCCCAGCTTTTAAGTAACAGTACACACATATATCTTGTATTTGCTTTTATACATGTTGCAAAACACTCGACTGTGCCACTGTTCAGTAAAACAACTGCTCCCCAGACCACAGTACTTACTTTTAGACTGTTCATTCTCAACAGAAAGAAGCCCCAGCTCTGCTCTGACTTTTTCTAAATCCATTTGCAGAGATTTCTGCAGTTCCATCATCTCAGTCTGATGTTTTTCACATAGCTCTTCACACATGTTTTTTAAACGTGTGTCAGACTCTAATTCCCAGTCTCTTTTGAGGATCTAAGAGAGTAAGACAACATTATTAAAGCAAACATGTTTAGTAAATTATTATTTTTTTTTCCTCCATTTATTTGCCCCTTACAATAAATGTGTAGCAGATATGGGACTTGTACCAGCTCTTGTTTTCTGAAAGGAGCTTTACTGTTTCTTGTAGGAAGAACAGAATTTGTACCTCTAATGCCTGGAGATGTGTCTCTTCCATTTCCAATTCTATTTTCTTTCTCTGGTCAACTGTGAAATAAAATACTTATTAATAAATTTACATAAAATGTTATGATTAAATGATAAGTAGAAGTATGATGAGATTACAATTTTCAACATCAAATTCAGGGACTTAGATAGGCAGGCACACAGCAGGGTAAGGTGCTGGGTTCTATCCAAACCTGCTGTTCTGTTACATCCCAGCAACTCACTTCCATTTTAGAAAAGAAGCATCTAGCAGTTACAGCTACAAAGACAACTCAGAAGGTAAAGTTCAGTTTAGTTAGCAAAGCCTGCTTAGCTCTACAGAGAACATGTTACTAAAAGAAAATAAAATCCTAAAGACAGGAATTCAGTGATGCCATTTAGCGTTTCCCTGCATGTCACTACGATCACAGAATCATTTCCAGGCACACAGCAGGAGTAGCAGGCAGCAGTAGCAGGTGGCAAACATCAAATTTCTTCTATGAATGCCTAGGAAACAAACTGCAAGACAGATGCCAATATCTGCTCAGTTCTCTCTGGCACCAATGGTTTCTTCCTCCCCAGCTCTTCCCCAGATTCATTCCAGCTTCTTGTTCAGCCCCTTTTTTGGCCTGCAGGTACCCTGTAAAGGCCTATCAGCCACCTTCCCACAGCATCAGAGCACTGTTGCCTTGGCTTATTTATAATATTCAATAATTTATAACATGCAACTGTGTTTCAAGTCCTTCTGTGGGAAACGAGAACTTTGAGACTAAGCTGGTGCCAGCTACCCAGCTAATGGTCCAGGAGAGGCAGAAATATCATGTAAGCTACAAGACACTGTCCCAGCACTCAAACAGGTTGGGTCATGTCTCATCTTTGCCTCTCTGAAGAGAAATGTCTGTCCTCTAAACCCCCAAGTAACAGTATCCACAACTTCTCACCAGGTGTCCTACATCACCTGATGCCAGATTCTTCTCAGCCTCTACACCCAAGTGGTTACATTCATATTAAGTTACAAAAGGCACATCAACAGCATTGATACTAAGAACTGCATCTAGAGCTCCTCCTGCTCCCATCAGTTCACTACATGGTGGTAACAAATGGTTTCCTACTCTTAAGTCAAAAAGAAACAGCCCTAAATGAATGTTCTCTTCCTCTTAGGGAAGGACAACTAAAGGAATGGGTCCTAAACCTTATTTCAGAGCTCAGTGGGGTGTGATCAGCGGTGCAGAGTATAGCTGGAGGCCTGCAGGTAGCGGTGATCCCCAGGGATCCACCTGGATATGATGAAAAACTTCTTTACTGTGAGGGTGACAGAGCCCTGGAACAGGCTGCCCAGACAGGTTGTGGAGTCTTCCTCTCTGGAGACACTTAAACATGGCTGGACATGATCCCGTCCAACCTGCTGTGGGTGAACCTGCTCTAGCAGGGGTTTGGACTTGATGATCTCCAGAGGGCCCTTCCAACCCCAACCAGCCTGTGATTCTGTAAAGTTCTCCAGTGAATTGCTACAAGACTCATCTTTCTCCAGAAATTCCTCAAGTTCTGCCATACAGGTCAGAAATGGTCTCCTGACATGGGAAGAGGCGAATTTCCCAAACAATGCCAAGAGCACCATCAGCAGGCCTTCAGTACTGTGAAGTGCAGCTTTCCTCATGCTGATGCCAGAATACAATCTTATATGAGACAGATCCCAAAGGACACACAGCCACAGGCTCTCACTGAGCCTTTCAGTTCCTTTCTGACTCCTTTATCCCCCTTTTGAAACCACTGAGAGGGCAAGCCAGTGTAACCACTTCCTCAGACACTGGTAGTACTGACCTGGGGGAAGAAACCCCTTATGTTTCTTCTGGGGTTAAGAGCTCTACTCTTTGCACTGATATAGTTCTTTATGAGAGCTTGGTCTAATGCCTCCTGAAAGCAACTAGTTCAGTTTAGCACTAATTTACAGATATAACAGCAAAACACCCATACAGATGAAGAAAAGCTAAACTTGGGTCTGCACAACTTTCTTTTCACATGTAAAACATGCACCCTTGCACATGGCAGTCCAACCTCTGTCTCTATTCAAGGCAACACCGGCTGTCACTCAAAGGGCAGCTCTACACCAAGCCAGGAAACTGTGCAGGAAGAAAATACCGGGCAACTTTAATCGGGGAATTAGAATTCCCCAATTTTAGTACCTAGTTCTTGCTGATGCTTTGACTCGAGGTCTTCTTTTTCCTTCAGACACTGTTCTCTGATCTCCTCCCACTCCAGCTGATGGCGGTTTTGCAGGATCGCCACCTCCTGCGCGCGTTTGTCGTTGAGCATCTCCCGCAGCTCCACGAGGGCAGTCTCCTTCTCTCTCCTCAGGTTTGCCTGCGTAAGCTCCAGCTGGGAAGTGTGCATATTGTTTAAGGTCAGGCGTAAAGCTTCCAGTTCAAGGTTGTGCAGTGTCTGTGATGGAGGAAAAGAAGGGTTTCTCCCTTCCCTCTAGGGAAATGTGCTCGCTTTTTTTGTGACCAGTTTCAGTTTCAGCTGTTAAACACAGCTGAGTTTTGCCTTTCTGTACTTGGAGAGTGTTTTCTTTGTGGCAGAGACCCTTAAAAGAACACTTAAAACAAGCTGACTTTTGTCACACACCAGCTCACCCCAACCCTTCACTGCCTATTAAAAAAATTCCTTATATTTGCTACTGGTTGTAATTTGTTAAAAAAAATTAAAATTCTGAAGTGGTATTGGAAAAGTAGAAATAAAATTCACCACACTTCACTAAAAAAAAAAAAGGGGGGAATAGCCAATGGTTAGAAATGGCAGCTAAAACAGACCAACCAAACTTCTCAATTCTTAACCTAACCAGTACACAAACAGCTTGTAATTAGACCTAACACTGGCCATACTCTTTCCATTTCCACTTTGCATTTAGTGGAGGTGTTAAAAGACCTAGTAAATATTTAGAGGAAAAAAAGTCAAGTTTTCATACTTCAGATGCAAAAAGTGCAAGTGTTAAAAAACCCAGGAAATATTTAGAGGAAAAAGTTAAGTTTTCATACTTCAGATGCAAAAAGTGCAAGTGTTAAAAAAACCAGGAAATATTTAGAGGAAAAAGTCAAGTTTTCATACTTCAGATGCAAAAAGTGCAAGTGTTAAAAAAACCAGGAAATATTTAGAGGAAAAAGTCAAGTTTTCATACTTCAGGTGCAAGAAGGCATTCCTGATTATACTAGTAGGATAGTTAAAAAGTGGGAGGGGCTTAGTGTTGTTCATAAATTCACTTGTTAAACTCACCGAGATATGAAAAATTAGCTGTTTTTCTTCCTTAAACCCATCAATTTAAGCAATTAAGTTTTCTTCAGAATTAATGTTAAAATATAACAGCAGTGAGGACCCTGGAGAACTCCTCTAGGAAACATCTAACACCACCCACCAAGAGACAACCTCTGTTTCTTCAGTTGCAGAAAGAGCACACACAATTCCCACAGAAACTAAGGATTTCTGTGCCTCCAGATCATGAACCCTCAGGTCAGTACTACAGTAATCATTGTGTTTCTTCCTTTTACCTGGGACTGGAGCTGAGCTTGCTCCTGCTCTGCTTTGTGTGTGGCTGCCATTTGCTGCTGAAGTTCATCCAACAGGTGCCTCTGCTCTTCCTTCAGTTCAACACGGAGCTTCTCCATTTCCTCTTCGTGTTTAGCAGCCAGTTCAGAGATTTCACGGTCGTGCTCTCGTTCATGTACCTGCAGAGAACAGGCAGATGAAAAGCTTTCTTCAAAGTATGGTTGTTTAGCCCCAGTTATTGAACCAGAATTCCCCCCTCCTCCCGACCCCAAATCAAAGGCACCACAGAAAAAAAAAAAATTAATACATTTTTGCAACCCCAAAATGTTTACACTGCTTAAAGGACAATGCAAAACGAGTTTATTTTTCCAAAAAAAACCCAATTACAGCATTTACCTTTTTTATTACAGCAATCTCTTCCTTTCTTTTTTCTTCCAGCTTCTCCTGTTTTTCCACTTTATCTTTTATTTCAGCATTTAACTCTTCTATCTGAAAACAGGCATACAAACATTTGCAATGGCAACCTTAAGCATTATGAAATCCCATGACTCCTGCAGTTACCAGGGTTTCCTACCTCTCTCTTGTGTGTCAAACTCACTTCAGTTAATTCAGCAAGGTGCTGAGTTGCCATTTTATCCATTTCCTCTTTGTAATGTTTCTCCACCTTGGATTGAGCCTCCTGGGCAGCTTGTGCAGCCTGAAAGGATTCCTGCAAGCGAGCCTCGAGATTCAAATGAGCCTCTTTCAAACGGGCAATTTCTTCAGTCAACTGGTTCTTTTCCTCACTGTACTCAGTACTCTTTTCCTTTATTTCAGCAGTAAGTTTATGAATTTCTTGGTTGCAAAGGTTTAACCTGTCCTCATAGCCCAGTCTTTCACACTCCTGTACTTCTTTGAGGTTTTTCATTTCAGCATTAAGCTCGTGTATGTTTTTCTCAAGGTCCTCAATGATGCCAAGATTCTCTGCTAGTGCTTTTTCTGCTTTCACCAAATCCTCCTCCACGGCAGATATTCTTTCTCCTAAGGCTGTTTTTTCCTTCAATAAAAGTGCTAAATTTTGTTCTTTATTATTGATTTCAGCTTTGAGCAACTCCTGTTCTTTTAGCAACGTCTCCTCAGACACAGTTTTCTGACCGAGCAGCTCTGCTATTCTCTGGTTTTTAGCCTTCTGAGCATCAAGTTGGCTTTGCATCTGATCCCTTTGACTTTGCAAAGCAGCCAACTGACGGCCGAAGAGAGACTGCACTTCGCTTGTCACAGAATCAGAAGCTGTTTTCTGCTCTTGAACGTCTTTCACTAATTGCTCCTGAGCTCGCAGCTGCACCATCAACATTTCTCTTTCCTCCTGGAGGTCTTTCACCATTTCTTGCCAGATAGAGGGTTTTGACACTTGTGCCAGAGACTCTACAGCACAGTGAGGCTGGCCTCCACCCTCACCCTGCTGCTTTACCAGAAACGTGAGTTTATTTTCAAGTTCTTTCTCCTTCTCCATTTTTTCCAGAAGTTCTTTTTCACAACAGATCCGTGCTGCACGTTCTTCCTCCAGTTCTGCCTGCATATGAGAGAGCTCAGACATTGCTTTTTCCCATTTTCCAACAGCTTCTTGGGTGTCCTGATAAGATATCTTCAAGGTGGACTCTGTCTGATGAAGCTGCTCAATTAGCTTCACACATCTCTCTGCTGAGCACACTGTCTCACCGTCCTTAATGTCACCACGGTCTCTTAGTTTGTTTTCCTGCAGGCGGTTATCTGGCACAAACGAAACAAATGCCTCTGCTCCCACCTCTTCAAAAGCCTCTTGAGCCAAGGCACTAGGACATGTTCCCTCATCAAGGCTAGAGTTTAATGGAGGAGATATAAAACCAGTGCTGGGTTCTAAAAGCACACTGTTGTCTAGCCCATAGGTACTGCATCTACCCTCCTCGATGGCACGGCCTTCTGAAGTGCTGGATGCGCAGGACTCATCTGGTGTTCCCGTGGAAATGAGATATTTAGCCAACATGCCTTCATCACCACTGAAGAGCCCCAGTTCTGACAAGTGTCCTTCAGACAGGTTATCTCCTTTGCTACTTCCATTATTCCCCGTGATCTCTGAATTCTTAATTTCTTCTAACTGATCCCCTGAGGAGTCACACTGGGACTCCAGTTCTTCGTGTACTGGCTCGTCTCCACCTTCTAACTGCTGTGGTTTGTCCCACATCTCCTCAAGCTCTGCTACCTGCAACTCTGACACCCCTGATAAAATTGGGTTTTCCCTCAATTTCATTAGCTTTTTATTGCAGACAATCTCTCCATCATGCTTTTGCCTTACATCTATACTTTTTTCAGCCTCATAAAGTCGCTTTTCATTTAATTCCTGGATGAAAGAATTCAGTTTCTGAATCTCTTCATTCAAGGACTGTTTTTCTTGTTTATATCGTTGGGCTTCCTTAGCCTGCTCCTCTGCATCAGAAAGTTGACACTTAAGGCCATCAATTAAATCCCTGTATTTAGTCTCAATTTCAGATTTCTCTCTCTGAAAGTCCTCCTTTTGGTTTTCAAGTCTCTTCCTCAAATTTTCGTTATTAATTTCAGACTCCTGAAGACTAATATTTAAGTCAATTATTATGCCATTCAAATTCTGAATGTGTTCTTCAGAATTCAAAGCACAGAGTTCTTTTTTTAACTGTTCAAGTTCATTCTTGTATTTTAAAATAATTTCTTCTTCATATGCCTGCTTGGCTACTGCAATCTCTCTTCTGTAGCACTTCTCCAGCTCATTCCTCAAGTTACCCAACTGTCTGCAAATATCCTTCTCATGAATGGTTTTCAGTTCTTCAATATGTTGCTGTTCTTTCACTTTGGATAAAGCTATTTCATTCTTTAACTCTGTTATTTCTGAGTCCCGGAGAGAAAGTGTTTGTTGTAGTACAGACAAGCCAAATCTTTCTGTTGCCAGCAGATCCTGAAGGCTTTTAATACGTTGCTCTTTTTCGTCTATGCTTTTGTAAAGCTCTTGCATTGTACCTTTCATATCCTCTTCCATTTGGGCAAGGAGATTTTCTTTATCTTTGGTATTCTTAAAAACAAAACATTACATATGAAATATGCCATTGAAATATGACGTGATTTTAATTTCCTTAAGCCTCATGCTTGTAATTTACCTTCAAGAATAATAACTAAGTGCAGGGTGTATCATTGGCCTATGCAACAGAATTTTTAAGCACAGAGATTGGAAAGTACCACTGAAAGACTCTTCAAATGTGATAATAAAAATATCAAATTGCCTAAATGCCACTGACTCCAGAGAGGAGGGAAATGGTGGCTGTCTCAAACTTCAGCAGTTTTAATTACAAATAAAATAAAATAACATCAAGAGCTAGAGACACCTCTCCACCTCATATCTCAGAAAAAATACCTCCCATAGGCAGGAGTAAGCCAACAGAACAGCCATGTCAAATTTTGCCTCTTCTGATTCACTCAAATGTTTAAGGCTTCTATCCATGGCATTGCTGGTTACATTCTTAAAGGAGATCAGACCTTTTAAGCTGTTCCTTTAATGTCAGTAACCACAATCCCTACGGATTTACTCCTAAAGAAAAAGACTTTTTTTCATGATTGTGTCACTACAGCAGGTCTGAGTTATCACCAAATTGGAAATACATATTATAAAGGAATCAGTGTCTGTTTTTACCTTTTGAGAAGACTCCAACTGCACTTCCAGGTCATGTGCTTTCTGGCGCAGCATCTCCAAGTGGGCATTTTGCTCTCTGAGACGATCCTGGAACAAGGACATTTGCTGTTGGGCTTCTAATCCTTCGTTTTTCCGGAGACTTTTACTCCTCAGCATCTGGTTAACCTGAGCACATAAGGGTACTCCCAGTCAGAAGTCAGTTTGTATCCAAACAACTCACTGTCTCCATAAAAATACACTGCATTCATTTACTACAGATTTGCCCTATGGCTTTCATTCTCAACAAATAAGAATCTCCCTAAGAAGTCAGACAACGTTTGTCATGTTTTAGATACTATTACTTACTGTAAAGATGTGTTAGATGATTCATCCCTATGATGAATTCTCCAATATTAACAGCCTAAAAATCCAACATAATGAATCATACTGAATTCCTCCAATATGAAGCAGAACTTCCAATGGACTGGACATACCAGTAAGAAGACAATGAACAAAACCAGTCTTCTCTGCAAAGGATTTACAGCTCATTACTAAAGGGTTTGTTTTTTTTTTCTCTCTCTACATCCCTTCAAATGAAAACATTTCCACTACAGGGGTAACATAAAATGTGTTTTACTCATTTTTAAAATCTTTTTCTTAAGATGTTGCTAAAGCCAAGAAATAATATCTAAGACAGTATTAGTGCTTTCATCTATTATCAAAATTGACATGCTTCCACAAACAATGTGCATCCTATCACTGGAATTATTTGGAGTATGCCCCAAGTGCTATTTAGAGGTTTTATCCTGGTCTTTCAATGGCTTATGCAGCAAATCCCAAGAAACATCTGTAGAGTAATTTTCACTATTACCACCTATTTTGCCAACAGCAATTAGAACTGCAAATAGAAAGCAGTATTTTTTTGTTATTTTACAAGATTTCATTTAGCAGAGGATTTATTTTCCAGGGCATGAGCAACTCCTTCAAGATAATCCCTGAACTAAAAAGTCACAGGTTTGCCTTTTTAAAAATTTTTAAACCCCCTTCCTTTCCTATCCAGACAGTTAAGACATGTAATTCCACCTAGGGTAATTCTTATCCTGCAAACCTGAAATGGTAAGTATACAGAAATATTTCTCTATGGCTTATACTACAAGGCTCCAAAGACAATAAATATACAGGTTCAGAGAGAACAGCCATTAAAACACTGAGCATACACAAAACATAAAGCATTTTTTAAAAAACATTTTAAAGTAGATGAAAGGCTGCAGTATCTCTCATTATCCAGGGATTACATCCATGATCAACTTGTTGCACTGAAGCAGGTTCTGTGTGCCACAGGGGGTTCCCTCAACCATCTTCACCTTATTTTAAATCTCCTTCCTTGAGCCAAGTCACATTACCTCAGCACAGCAAGTTTCTGTCTAACAGCTGAGCTGTTCCAGTTGCCCAAGTATAAACTCTGAGATTTCTTTGGCAAAGGAAAAACGATCACATGCAAAGCCAAAATATTACAGCAATGGTTGTGTACAGACCCCCAAACCACCAACAATATTGTGTGAAGTTCCCTCACAAGGGCTTATTAACTGATGGACAAGGAAGTGTAATGACCTCAAAAACATGACACAATCAAGTGGAAAATATGAGGATATTTCCAGGACTTCTCCGGAAATATAACAAAACACTCCACCTCGCCCTGAAATCACTTTCACTGCTGTGCTACAAACTGAACTACCAAGAGCTACATGATCAGCTCAACATGTTTCTACATTCATAGCCCAAACCTGTTCTTGAGAGCCACACCTGATGCAACTGAAGCTGTAAATCGTGGACCTGACCAGCAACACGTGAGGCCTCTTCCTGCAGGTCATCCCGCTCTTCCTTGGCCTGTTGCAGGCGGCTCGTGAGCTTCCTGATGATTTCATTCTGCTCTTGAACAGTAGTTTCCTACAGGGATCACGAGAAGTGCACTTTTGAAGCTAAAATATTCCTATCATATTTGGAACCAAGTAAGTTTTCTTCAGGCAAAGCTGTTGCAGAGTCTGTAGTTCTAAAAAACTTGCACCAGAGGTGTTCAAAGACAATGGCAGGCGTGATGAAAGAGGAGTCTTACACTGATCTCAGAGATGACAAACCTAATCAAAAGTGACTTTTAAAACAAACTATAGGATACCAGTAACGAAATTAACACTTTTACATCAAAATTTGTAGCTCTGATTGATGTAAAAGCAATAAGGTTTTCAAAAAGTATATAATGAATATTTAGTGCTCCCTAAAATGTGTCCTATCTGTCAAGCTCTTCCCTTCAGCCGTGTGAAAGGAAGCTGATGAGATTGGACACATTAATCCTATTTTACGTTAATCAAATTAATCTTTTCAATTTATTTCTCACCAACAGGAAATGTCTTTGTTTCCCCAGTCTAGAAGGAGGGGGAAAAAAAGAAAACCATACAAAGGGGCAAAAAGCTATTCTTAGAAATCACCTGATAATAATTTACCTTCACATAGAACTGCTAGAGAAAGAGAATTCAATATATTATTTTTTAATATTTTGGAAGAGGATGCTGCTTTTTGCAGTTATCAAGGTGAAACACTAAAAAAAGATACTTCTTTTCAGTTTTGCCACCTAAATATTTTCAGGATTAAAGTGAAATATTTTTATCCCATTATCCACTTCTATGAAACACACCTGAAGCTGCATAGAGTCGTTGTGCTGTGTGAGTTGGTCCTGCAGTTCATCCATCTGTGCAGTGAGTTTTTCCACTGCCTCCTGTTTCTCCAGAAGTCTGTTCTCCAGCTCAGCTATCCTTGCCTGACACATCTTTGCATCAGCCTCACTGTATTCTGCAGCAGAATTTATCCTGTCTTTCTTCATAAAAGAAACAAAAACCTATTTATTCACTAAAATAAGATATCATTTCTGGTTTGCACTTAGTCTGAAAATAAACTCAGCTTCAAGGTTAAGTCCTAGGCAAATTCTACTTTTAAAGTAATTCAACACTGGGACTTTGTGTTTAATAGAAACACTATATACATGAAGCCCTTAATTGTTAAAAAATTCAAATAAAAAACAGTAATAGACAATATATTTTCACATGATACTTTAAGGCACAAAAGTAAATTAAGAGTGTTGTGATTCTATAGCACTAAATGGTGGCAATGTGCCACTTTGGCATGTATTGGGATTTAAATACCTTCCAACAACTGACTGAAATTTGGGAGGGGGCAGGTAGAATACTACCAAACAAGCAAAATTTTTACATCCATTTGTGCTGACTGGAGAACAGTCCATCCACAGGAAAAATAACAACATAAAGTTCTTCAATTAAAACTAAATTCCCGTGGTTTTGATGAGCCATATTGTTACAATTCTCACAGAGGACATACAGTATCTTGTATTTTATTTTAAATACTTTTTGGTTGTATCACATGAAACAACTAAGAATGAACCCACTTTTCAATTAGAAACATCATGCAAATTTCTCTGGACAAAGTCTACAATTTCACTAAAACTTCTTAGCAACCAATTTCACAGCCAGTACAGTCAGAAAAGTGCCTGGTTTAGAGTGTAAAAGAGTGAAATCACATCAGTTTTATCCCATTTGATAACAATGCTCAATTAATAATTTCAGCAACCAATTATCACAGACCTATACAGGATCTTTTACTAAAGACACATTCTTTCACACTTACTTCAGTTGCATGATCATTCAGTACATCCCAGTTGGACAAATCAGCATTCCCCTGGTAAGTAAACAAATAAAACAGGCCCTAAATCGTGGCCATTTTAAAAGAAAATAAGGAAAAATAAGAGGGGGGAAAAAAGGAAAATAAGGAAAACCAGAATTATTTTGGAAACACCCTAAGCACATGAGCCAGAAAGGTCCATGTTGTGAGATAACATATCAGTGAGAGACTGACTTTTAATGCTAAACCCAGCTGGTCTTCCATGGTGAAATGAAATAATTAACTGCAAAAACCAACCAAGCAAAAATTATTATGAATGTCTACTTAAATTTAGGGCTAAGCCTCACCACTGAGATTCAATGTTTGATCCTCAGCTGTTGTGGCTGGCCAATACAGCTGAGCAATCTTTGATCTCCTGCTAAATACTAGTAAATTGACAGGAGATTATTTAACAAACATGCTAAAACCATTCAGGTAATTACAAAAGAAGCACTTTTTTCTGACACACGTGCATAAGGTAGCTTGGTATCTTGAAAGATGTTTCCCTCTCACTAAATTCCCAACAAGACCAAGATGACTATAGCACTATTTGGAAAAGGCAGCCCACAGCCCTCCCCGTATTTTGAATCTGCATGAAGTAGTTCCCAATGATTACTGTCTCCCTGGGGGTGCCCCCTCCAGGTAACCTAGAATTCCAGCTGCTTTACAAACCAGCTATTTTGACAAAAGCTGGTTAGAAGCTGTAAGTGATTTTTGTTTCTTTTTGAATTTAAGTTCCCACGAATGTAGTAAGGACACTGCTGTGGCTGAGTGACAAAATACTGTATGTTTTTTTCCTCAGACACTTTGGTGTGTAGCTTCATAACAGCCTTTGCATTATGTTGAAGATATCCTGAAAGCATCAGGGATACCCTCAAAACAGAAAGCAGGATGATACATGAAAATTGTATCCTCCAGTATTGCAGGTTTGCAAATACACCAGTTTGGTGCTGTTGTGGTATGCTGTGAAAACACACCAACAGCTGGAGAGATGCTTTTGATGCAGAAGGTACCACCTCCCCAAAACTCATGAGTCTTTGCACAGAGAACACGACTGCCTTTAGGGGGTCATCAGTACAAACATATTGAAACACATCAGGCACAAGCAGAGTCACATTTTAAACAAATCAGTCAGTGGAAATAACATCTATGCTGGCTTTACAATGGCTATCGAGAGCTTGCTGGAATAAATGATAATTTTTCAGAAAACATTCAGCATATTTGAGCCAGCCAAGTGATACAAAACCAGACTAATGCCGTGCATTATAAGGTTCTGGCAGTTTTGTTCATCTGCTATACCTCTTAATCCAGATTTGCCATTACACGAAGTCACAGCCATGTAACCAAAAGAAGAGAAGTCCATGGCAGTGAAAGGTGAAAGACCACAACTTAGCAGGCTAACAGCTCCCTGACATTACCAGCTGTCCAGGCCGTGTCATGGAGATGCCTTACTCTGTAACTGACACCACTTTGTAAGAGAGTGAATTATCACAAGTGAAAATACACCAGTTTAATTCCTCCTCAATGGCAGCCCGTTGACAGCGCCAGCGAGCTCGCACCCAACCAAGCACCACAATCACCTGGAACACTTGTTATCTGCAGATGGGGCAAAGCCAAGGCAAGAAATACTAAGATTTACCTCTGTTGTTGCCTCTAGTAGGTTGGTGTCTTCAGCCTTACTCTCTACGCCCTTACCAACACCTCTGGCTGCTACTGGGTGCTCTTCCTCCGGAAGGTCATGCGCGTGGACAGCCGAGCCCTTCCTCTGCGCCGCCTTTTTCTGCGGCTGCGCGACGTCGCTCTTTGCTTTTCGCTGTCTGAAGTAAGCAAACTGTGCAGAAAAGATTGGAAGAGGTAGAGGGAGAGGTAAGCGAGGAAAAGGTAGCAGGACCACAAGATTAACACAGTCATGGGTGATGAAGATCCTGTCTCGATAGAATCTATACATCTGCAGAAAAACTGCTTTATCTCCCTACTTTCCATGCACTCACAACACGCTGGATGACTGAGCCATTAAGCAACAGATCTCACCCCAGTGCTAAAGACTCATTTCAACACAAGAATCAAATTTTACTCAGTGAAACTTTGTGTGTTAATGACAATCCGGAATTACAGCAAGGCAGATCAGCAAAGGAACGAGTTGTCAATATGCTAGAAGCATCAGGAAAAAATAATCATTGAGCAGTCTTCCTGCAAGACCAGCAAAAACAAGAACCCCCTTGTCAGGGTGCCAAAGCCAGCGCACCCCTACAAATATATCTAAACAGATCCTTGCCAGCGTAAGCTTTGAGATTAAAATTAACGGAAGTGAATCCTCATGCTCCTTCCCTGCCACCCCCTTAAGAGAATACAGCAAAACTTCCTCGCCAGAAAGCAGCCTCCAGTACATAAATAGAAAATCAATTAAGCCAGGTCATTTTAATTTCTTCTGTTGAAGAATCAGATGCTCTACTTTATCAGGCTATCACAGCTCCATGAAGCCCCAGGGACCTGTAAAGAATGTCACTGACAGAATTTATTACCCAACTCTCCCTAGCACCTTAAACAGCTTAAAAAGGATTATTGTTATTTTCAACTCTAGTATTGTGTTTAGGGAGCATTTCCAAGTAACATCTCCCTCACAGCATAAATCCAGACATCCTTCTCATAAGGAAAAAGCCTTCTTCAAGGTTAAAGCCATAGCTTATCAAGTGCAGTGTTATATCCTTGTGATGAGATAAAACAGATAGTTATATGATGACTGGATGTAAACATCATTGTCAAGTTCTACCTGCAATACCTACAAAAATCCACTGCTAAACAGCTTGGTTTTCCTGTCAAACAGTCACCTCACACAAAAATCTTGTCTGTGTCTTCTCATTCAGTTTGTGAAATGGATCTAGTTCAGTTCCCTCCCCTTACAGCAACTTCCACCTGACAGTTTAGTTACTCCACGGAAACATGGTTACACATCTGCTACACTGAGCAGCCTGTTTAAAAGGTGTATTTGCAGAAAGACAAAGGTGCATTTGTTGTTTTTTACCAGCTGATAAAAAACACTTAGGTGCAAATAAGTGTAGAAATTAAAAATAAGCTGTTAATATTGAATGCAGATTAAATGAAGATCACCAGATGTCCTGTGCCTTTCATGATAAGCAAAATGAACAGGCCAGTACATAAAGCTGCAGTGAGACACAAATACTGTTCTCTGAAATCAGGTGTTAACTCTAGCACTTACTGATGGCAATACATGTTAAAAATAGCTAGTGCACTAATTAACCTGATAACATGGGGAAAACGGGGCAGGAGGAAACCTGCAGAAAAATAGAGAATAGAGGAAATTGCTGAAGCAGGGAAAAAGGGAAAACAAATGTAAAACAACCAGAAAAGATGAGAAAAGAAAGGCAGAGAGAGTGGGTACCACAGAGAGCAGTCAATGATTTCACGAAGGGACATGGAATATCTGACATTAAAATACCAAGACTTGGCATGACTGAATACACAACCATGAATTTCTAAATGCACAGCCAAGGAAAACAAAACATATTTTGTCCTGTTCACATGCACTAAACACACGAAATTGTAATGCATATCATGCAAAAATAACCAACTATGACAAAATTTTACGGAACTGCTGCACTTGTTGGAGTGGCTGGAGTCAAATATGCTCCAGACTTATGGAATCACCGGATGGGGAAAAGTTCTACTTAGAGCAATATTGGGTTTCCAAAGCCTTCAATCAGATACACAAATTTAAGTGTCACTGTAAGAGTATATCAGGTTCTCAGCCATCCAACACAAAACAGTGGGTGTGATTGTGAAGCAAGCGTGACATAATTGCCTCTCCCCATCACAGTGAGATCCCATTGTGCCCCTTTTGAAGGATTTAACTCTCCCTTTGCTTTCTAGAAAAGTGCAAAGGCAAAAACTTCACTTCTAGCCAAGATGCAGCATTCCACAGGAAGCCCAAGAGCAGTGTCCACCACAGCACCCAAAGCAGCTCTCCACAACAACTTTCTGTGGGTACCAACACTCTGCAGCTTCATTTCACCAGGAACAGTCAGTTAGAAGTTGACCTGCTGCTTTATGTGCTTCAGAAATTAGTACCAAAGTCAACACCCATAGAAAATTGAACTGAACAGAAAACCACATCACAACCAAACAGAAACAGGTTGTCCAAATAAACCTCTTGGATACAGCTCTTGGCTACAGCAAACATAAGCAACAAGTGCTCTCAGACAAAACCCAGAAACGTTTTCTAGAGCTTCCTCAAAATGATGAAGTGGGAAAACTTCCTGGAAAACCTGAACTCCTTTTTCAGCTCCTAACGTGTAAAATACAGGAAGAGGAAAAACTACTCACACCTGGGGTATGGCACACAGAGCTCTGTAACTAGAGACACAGGTGGCTGGCATGACTAGCTAATGTCAGGTTATAAAAAACAAGGAGAAAAAAGAAGCACTGAATACTTGGGGTTTGTTCTGTTTCTCAGTAATTACACCTTGGCTATCAGTATTGCATTTATTATTTATTACAGCACTTACTAAAAACAGGAATCTGAAGTACCTGATACAGTCACTACTTAGCTGCCAAATCATTACAATTTTCAACTAATTAAACAGTTATTATTATTATTATTATTATGTGATAACTTAAATGCAAGCACTGATTTCAAAATGAAAACATTTACATTATATTTCTTTCCCAAGTCATTGCTTAGTAGACTAAAATCTAAGGATGTCAATGATACAATAATTGTGGGTTTGGTGGGGGGTTTTTTTGGGGGGGGAGGGGGGTGAGGAGGCAAGCAAAAAGCCCCACAGCAGTTCACACCTCCCCACTGAAGCACTATCAGACTGCAGTTACCATCACTGCACAGGCTGCTGCACAACCAGCCTCACTCCTGTCCCCTGCTGTCCCCCTGTTACCTGTGCAGTGATGAGGTGAGATGATTCAGGGAGCTGATCTGATGAACACTGGACATTTCTGTGTCAGACCGCAGATGGCATCACCTTAAGCTGCTCTAAGCTGCACCACAGGAAGGAAAACCTGTACCTGGTTCATGGTCCTGCCTCCTTTCAAAACTGCACTGGCATTCAAGAGGAGGACAGCCCAAAGAAAACAGGAAAAAAGAAAAACAAAAGAACAAAACAGGAGAAACGTTTCCTTACAGCTTTATTACACAAGGGCCTTTAAAAGTGAGCTCTCCAAAGGCAGTTTGTGAAGGAAGTTACAGTCCTGCAGCCCACCTTCTCCAGCAGCATGGTCACATCCTACCGTGGCATTAAGAACACACCAAGGGCTACACTGAGGGGCATTTACTCCAGTAATTAGCCCAATATGCACCTGTTCCATAAGTCAGCTCTACAACTTCAGGTAGATAAGTAAAGATACAACAGCAGGGCAAGCACACAGCCACACACGGCAGATATTGGGTATGAGCACAGTAAGGAACATGCATCTCATGTGCTTGCCTTACAAACTCTAACACCACCTTTATGTTTACTAAGCCTTCACGGATAGTGCTTCCATTCATTCATCCATCCTGGTGTTCTTTGAAAACTTCCTGGTGCCCACAGCCTGCCAGCCAAGGGACAGATCTCTGTGACATTTTAATAAGCAGAGGAAGATCTACAACTCCCTCTGCCTTTCTAAACCCTTTCCTCTCCTCTCAGCATACCAGGTATGTGACACTATGCAGCAACAACATTGATGGGGCTGCTAATAATGGGGTTTTTTTTAAATGGGAAGATGAGAGAGATTTAACACATAGTGCAAAAAAAACAGTAAATGCAACACTGGCTCTGCACACGTAACCTGAAACATAATGCAAGTCTGTGCTTTTTTTCTTTTCAATGGCAAACAACAGCTGTGCAACAGGTGGGAACTGGTAACTTATTCAAGCCAAGTCTATCACATTTTTCTCACTACAGATTCTGCACTGAGAGTTAACTTATGTTAACAGAAACGTTAACATGGGTCTTAGCACACTAAGGTAACCTTTCAACCTGTGGCTGTAGCCACAGACTGGCAAGAGATAGCCAGGAGGGAAATATGACAGAAACTGCTCAAAACTCAGCAGAAATGCTGAATTAAAAGAAAAGTAACCAGGCATTTCTAACCAGCTTATTGAAAACTGTTACCAAAACAAAGCAGAACTTTTTTTATCTAAGGGGGTTAACACATATCAAGCGTTAATCACATGGCTGCAGACAATAATTACTAAGAGAATGTTATGTTTATACATCAGCTGAGTTGGAAGGGACCCACAAGGATCACGGAGTCCAACTCTTAGCCCTCCACAGGACCATCCCCAAGAGTCACACCCTGTGCCCCAGAGGATCATCCAAACACTCCTTGAGCTCTGGCAGCCTTGGGGCTGTGCCCACTGCCCTGGGGAGCCTGGTCAGTGCCCAACCACCCCCTGGGGGAAGAACCTTTCCCTGAGATCCAACCTGACCCTGCCCTGGCACAACTTCAGGCCTTTCCCTGGGGTCCTGTCCCTGATCCCCACAGAGCAGAGATGGTGCTGCCCCTCCCCAGGAAGTTGTAACTGCAATAATAAATACTAAAACACACAACGTCTGCTCTTTGGGATCCTCACCTGGAAACGCAGTACTCCCCCAAATACCCGAATCCCAGGTAAAATCGGGAGAACTGGGAATTAAAAGCTAACACCAAAGCAAAGCAAAGCAGGACGTGGGGGAAGGCACAGGCACTGCTGTCAGCTGCTCCGGGCTCACCTGGGACGGTGTACGAGTGGTAGGATGGAAGCCCCCCAGGCAGCCTGCCGGGCACGCTTTCCCTACAGAGCCGCGCAGCCCAGGTGAGTCCCCCCGGACTCCCGGCACAGCCGCTCGGCCCTGCCACTGCCGGGACCCCGCGCGGACCCCGCCACGCAGAGACCGCGGGTGGGCTGCGGCGATACCGCAACCCCCCGGCCCCCGCAGCCCCCGCCCAGCCGGCACCTCTTCCCCTCACCTTGGCCCTGCCGGCCTCCAGCTTGCGCCGCCGCGTCTCCTCCGCCGCCTCCATGCGGAGGCCGGTGCAGCCCGACCCGCGCCCCCCACGCCCTCACCGCGGCGGGGGCTGAGGGGCCGCGGTCATGGCCGCCCCGGGGCCGCGCCAGCACCGCCCGCGCAGCGGGGCTCCCCACGGATTGGCCAGAGCGCGGTACCTGGCAGGGTCACCGACCAATGGCGAGAGCGCTCCTCAGCCTGGCCCCGCCCACCCGCGCTGAATGGCGCCTGGGATAGGCCGGGCAGGGCGGGGCGCGCCCCCCGGCCTCGCCCCCGCCCCGCCCCTACGCGGTGGCCGCCAATGGGAGCCGCCCGCGCCGTTTCAAACGGGCCGCCAGCCACGGCCCCGCCCACGGCGGGAGGCGGCCAATGGCGCGCGGCGGCGGCGCTCCCGCCCTTTCCCGCTCCCTGTTCCCGCCCGGGAGCCGCCGCTGCAGCCACTGAGGGTGCTGAGGGTGCCGGTGGGAGCCGCGCCCTTCCGTCGGTGGTGCCGGAAAACAACCCTCTAGGGCTCTTTCAAAAAGAAAGCGAAAAGCACTCTCTTCGTTACGGCGGCCGTGATGCGCAGGGGTATTTCCCAAAGCGTGCCGTGCCTGAGTTAGAAAAGCCTCTTGCTTTTATATGGTTACCTAATTAACAATTCAAAGCATTACCTAATGCTGTTACGCCCACTTCCGAAACCGTGCCTCCCACAGTACCGCCCTCGCCACGCCTCCCGAATTTGAGTCGGAGGTCTCAAAAAGACCCCATCTTCATCTTCTCTTCTTCTTCCTCCTCCTCGTCTCCTTTGGCACAGCATTGCGCCTTCTGGAGCGGCTCCAAGGCTTCTGAATAGCTTTGACTGGTTTTGTCAGATGTTACGTCTCTTTCTCAGTCCAGTTCACAGATAGGAGAAATCCTTTACGTCATTAAAATTCCGATCTATCGAGCATTTTAGAAAACCGGTACAAAGACACTAGTAAAATCACATAATATAGGTTTTAGGCTACATCTGTGCCCTGCCAGTGGCCGGTGCCGGCGGCCCTGTTGAACAGAGAGGGAGGTGTTGTCACAGGGGAGTGACCTGCCTAAAATTGGCACTCAATTTGTGGGTTTTAGAAGCCGGGTGCTCTTTCATTCCAGCACACTGGAATGATTTTGGCGTGAATCAGCTCGCCAAAATGCACCTCGTGACATCTCAGTTCCAACTGATATATCTGCATTACACAATTATTCATTTTTGTTCCCCGCATTCCTGTTGCATATTCTTGACATTTCCAAACACTTACTAGCATACATCCATACCCTTATAAGGCCTCTGAGGGTCTCTGGTGGTCATCTCTGTATGGAGGCCCCAAAGTTCTGAGTGACCACCTTATGAATTTCTTTAAGATAACATCACTGGTTATACATCAACCAGACATTGCCTGCTCTGCTGCTTCAGCTCCTTTCTTCATTGTTTCCTCACCTTAGTTGGCTGATTTCTTTAAACTGAGGCACAGTCATTTTCTATGGTACATTCTGCTGCAAAAACTATTAGTTCTTGTTACATCTCTAAACCCCAGTGTCACCATCCAGCTCAATTATAAACTCCTGTGTGGAAATGTTGCCCTTTACAGCAAGCCTAGACCACCTTTTATAGATGTATTCCATGTTTTATGATGTCTCACTGCTTTATTTTCCTCAAGCCATAAGGAAATGCAGAGTCCCTGCATCCAGGGGCACAGATGCAGCAAGAGTGACCTCTGGAGATAATTGTGTGATAACAAGGGAGAAATGAGGTACTCTTTTCTTAATGTTGAGTATTATTAACCTTAGAGTCACCTACAGAAATGGTGGCTTCTTTGTCTTTTGAAGACATTAAAATCACACTGGAAAATACAGGCTTTAATGAAATTTGTTACTTGGCTCAGCTCAGACGTAACCCACAATACACTGGGTTTTTCTTCCTAAGAAACACTGGCATCTGTGCATCTTTATGAACTAACACCCCTTTTTCTATCCCTGGTCCTTTCTGTGCATTTGGCCCTTAAGTTGGGTTCTTCTGAAGGGTCGTAGAAGTGTGGACTTCTGCCCCAGATTCAGACATTACATTGTGCAGGTCATGAACTGGACCTAGCTTGCTCCTGTGGACTATTGCTATCCAGCCTGTGTCAACCACCATGCAAGAAGTATGTGGGAAGAAACATGGACATGTTCCTGTTCTGATAATAAACCGTTTTGTAGCAACTTCCTGGTCTCCCACATTACAGACAAGCAAAAGACTAGAGCAGTGTGCTCCAGAGAAAAAGCTCATCTGCATCCAGAGCCAAGTGAAGATTAAGTTTTAACCCACTGCAGAGGTTTCTGGAGGACAGTATATGTTGGCCTTCCTCCACCTTTTTTTTTCCCTTTCTCACCAGAGAGGGTGGAGGGAAGGGAAGCAGCTGCTTGGAGCTTGATTTATAGATGGTTTTAAACCACAACACTGAGAAGTGAAAGGAAACTTAAGCTTAGAACTAAGAAGTTTCTTAAAAGGAAAAGATAAAATATCATGCCATGTATAATGGCAAATTTGCTAAATAAGATGTCATTTAAAAACAATTGATTTAAAATTAATTGCTGCTTTGACTTCTTGCTCCAGCTAAAAATGAATACTTCATGTTTCATGGAATCACAGAATGGTGTGGGTTGGAAGGGACCTTAGAGATCAACTTGTTCCAACTCCCTGCCATGGGCAGGGACACCTTCCACTAGCCCAGGTTGCTCAGAGCTCCATCCAACCTGGCCTTGGACACTCCCAGGGATGGGGCAGCTACAGCTTCTCTGGGAAACCTGTGCAGGGCCTCCCCACCCTCACAGGGAAGAACTTTTTTGTAACATCTAATCTAAACCTACTCTCTTTTAGTTTGACTCCATTCCCCCTTGTCCTGTCGCTCCAAGCCCTTGTCCAAAGTCTCTCTCCATCTTTCTTGGCAGCTCCCTTCAGGCACTGGAAGGTCACAATTAGGACACCCCCAAGCCTTCTCTTCTCCAGGCTGAAAAATCCCAATTCTTTTAGACTTTCCTCATAGGAGAGGTGCTCCACCATCATCAAGTTTATTTGGGCTTAATAGGTTTTGGTTTGTTGACACTTTTATTTTTTTTAAATAAACAACTGATGCATTATATTTTCTTATATCTCTGTCTGCTTGCTGAAATGTCAGGATTTCCAGTGCTAATCTAATTCAGTTGACTCAAGTGTTAATTTGCAACATTACAAGTGGCAGAAGGAGAAAATTGATTGGAAGGAACTTATATGTCCTTCTGGTGATATGTGGGAGGTTTTTTATTCTTTTAACTCTTTTAATACATTAAAACAGTCTTCTAAGACTGAAATAATAGAGTCTCCTCTCTAGGGAACCAAAGCCTGGAAGTTTATTGTCTCTCGACATTTCCAGGTGTGTCAGTTTGTTTTAATAAAATATTCTTTTAATATTGTCTTTTAGAACTCCTAGTAATTAAAATTAAAGGTATAAAGTATCAAAATCAATAAAAGACATCAGAGAAATGTAATACTGGTATGGACCTCACCAGGTTATCTAATCCAGTCTTGTATCTGAGGAGTATCTCATAGTCCTACAAAGTTCAAAACATTTGTTTTTCATTGTTTCATATTGTTTGTAAACAACTTCTGTGAATTTTTTTTTCCTTTCACAGCTGCTTCATCATTTTTCTTGCTGGTTAATAGAGATTTTTTTTCATGTTTTTATCGGGTTTTCCTCTTTCTTATTAAGCCAAATGCCCAGCCTTTTCCAAACAGAACCCCCACAAATCTTGTTTTTGATTGTACCCTCTCACTTATTTAAAGATTGCTGGCCTGTCCTCTTCTCACTATCCACCTGCTAATTAAATAAAACCAGTTCTTACAAGTCTTCCTCAGAACTTACAGTTTGTAAATGCACCATTTTAAATTTTTTTTCTGCACTTCCTTTCCCTCTAAAGCCACCATGTCTAAAATTAGGCACAGTGTCCAAACTCTGACTTCAGCACTGCTAAATAGAGCAGAATAATTGTCTCCTGTGAGGTGCATGTAGCCCTGCTGTTACATTTGTCTGATTTCGCTCTTCTGCATCTTCATGCTCGAGTGTGATCCCTTGTTTGGGATTCAATGTTGCTATAGATCCCTTTCAGCAAGATCCTGTGCCTGGCCGGCACATTCCTGGCAAGTCATTAATTAGCAGGTTGTAAACTGTCCCTAGAGCAGGGATCACACTGTGACCAAGGCATCCATAAGTGTTGGAAAAGAAAAATCCCTTTAGCAGACTTACTGGAAAGCATTTTTATTTTTTTTACCTAGTATTGGATTTCCTCTGGGATACCTGTCACATCAGGAAGAAGTTTCTCTCTCTTCCTTTCCCCTTTAGTCAACTCAGTTTCTTAACTCTGGTGCTGTATTTTTAATGGAATATTTATACCTGGGCCTTTTTTTCAACCTTTCTTGTAACCCTCTATCCATACTGCAATGAAGGCTCTAGAAATTTAACTTTTAGGGGGCACTGTATTAAACCAGCTGATGGCAAAAAAGGGGGTTTTTTGCCTAATAATGAAGTTTCTCTGACCTCTCCAGGGACTCCTAGCCTGTGTATTTTTTAAGGACAGACAGCACACATGCTGTGGAGGTCACAGCTGGAGGAGCTGGTCTGTACTGCTCCCACACACCTTAGAAACATCTTTCAGCAGCTCCAGCTGCCGGCAGCGGCTCAGCTGCAGTTTTGCTGTGGCCTTCAAGTGAGAAAGGGGTTGTAACTTTGCTCTCCTAGGAGCAGAACTGGGCTTAAAATATGATACTGAGAATGAGTGTCTGCTACTTGGTTTCTTACTCCTCGATGTTCATTTTGCGGATGTCACTGATGAATGTTACCCTGTTTTATGCTGGTAGGGGGAGCCACTCTACAGGTTGCTTGGGGGATAGTAAGCAAAAGGATGTTACACCGTAGCCTCTTTTCTGTTGAACTTAGCCAGGGAGGAGTTCCAGCTGTGCTCCCTTGTTTTCTGAGCTTTTAGTTACTATGTGGTGATGAAAACTCGTGTGAAGGGTTATG